CCCCCCCTTTTGCTCCAGCGGCGCTCCGGCCCTTTAATGCTGGAGCTGTGCCGGTTGCCTGATGGCTCAGTGAGCAGAACTGAATGTCTGCTCCTCCTCCTCCTGCTCGTCCTGCTCCTCCTCCTCCTGCTCGTCCTGCTCCTCCTCCTCCTGCTCCTCCTCCTCCTCCTCCTGCTCCAGCGGAGCTCCGGCCCTTTAATGCTGGAGCTGTGCCGATTGCCTGATGGCTCAGTGAGCAGAACTGAATGTCTGCTCCTCCTCCTCCTCCTGCTCCTCCTGCTCCTCCTCCTGCTCCAGCGGCGCTCCGGCCCTTTAATGCTGGAGCTGTGCCGGTTGCCTGATGGCTCAGTGAGCAGAACTGAATGTCTGCTCCTCCTCCTCCTGCTCGTCCTGCTCCTCCTCCTCCTGCTCCTCCTGCTCCTCCTCCTCCTGCTCCAGCGGAGCTCCGGCCCTTTAATGCTGGAGCTGTGCCGGTTGCCTGATGGCTCAGTGAGCAGAACTGAATGTCTGCTCCTCCTCCTCCTGCTCCTCCTGCTCCTCCTCCTCCTGCTCCAGCGGAGCTCCGGCCCTTTAATGCTGGAGCTGTGCCGGTTGCCTGATGGCTCAGTGAGCAGAACTGAATGTCTGCTCCTCCTCCTCCTGCTCCTCCTCCTCCTGCTCCTCCTGCTCCTCCTCCTCCTCCTCCTGCTCCTCCTGCTCCTCCTGCTCCTCCTCCTGCTCCAGCGGCGCTCCGGCCCTTTAATGCTAGAGCTGGAACGGTTGCCTGATGGCTCAGTGAGCAGAACTGAATGTCTGCTCCTCCTCCTCCTGCTCGTCCTGCTCCTCCTCCTCCTGCTCCTCCTGCTCCTGCTCCTCCTCCTCCTGCTCCAGCGGAGCTCCGGCCCTTTAATGCTGGAGCTGTGCCGATTGCCTGATGGCTCAGTGAGCAGAACTGAATGTCTGCTCCTCATAAAGCAGCAGATTGTTTCTGCTTTAAACTTGTTCCTGAAGCAGAGAATTGTGGGTATTGTAGGAAAGGAGCAGCGATGGCGGCGTGGATCAGGGTGATGCTGTAGTTCAGCAGGATGGGTTCAGGAGGAGCAGGTGGTGCTTTAAGGAGCTGCTGAGCGTCTCTAACATCAGATTCTAGGGCTGCAGTTAAGCAGCATTCTACTGATCATTGATCGTTAATTATTTTGGCCAACGATGGGTTAATAGTCCGATGATAAATAATTCCTGGAAGAATATTATTTACAGAATAAATGGGGTGAAATTAAAAGGTTTCCTCTTGGGGAGGTGTGGTTAGAACAGACTGACAGGAGGAAGTGATTATTCTCTGGACAGCAGGAAGGTTGGCAGTCTGACCCATGATTGGTCTGAGTGATGAACCAGGGTGGGAGATTAAAGACCTCAGGAAACGTCTGCAGGTGTTTAGAATTAATTTATTGATTCAGATGATTTTAGCTCGTTTAGAGACATTTATCATTATATGCTAATGTTTTAAGAAGGACCTGTAGAAATATGGGACAGATATCAGGTAGAACATGAGATCAGATCATCTCTGATTTAGACCATCTAGAGTCGCAAATAAGACAGAAATATTTCATTTATTAACTTTATTTTTTATCAATAATGATAATATTTGAACTTTATTGATGTCACATTTGAGGAATTCCCTCTCTTTAACCCCTCCCCTTGGGGAGCAGTGGGTGGCCAGGAATTGAGTGGCAGTCTTTGGGAGTGGGGCTCGAGCTCACAACCTCAGGATTCCATGCCCTGAGCACTAGGCCAGTGTTCCGTCAGAGCAGCACGCCCCGTCCATCCTCATTTCTCCTCGGGGGGGGGGGGGGGTCATTTTCAAAACAAGCGATTTCTTTCATCACCTTCTCGTGTTTTTGAAGCGTATGGCGAGCTGACCTTAACATGTTTTTTTTGTACATGACTAAAGGGAAACACGGGCGTTTCTGTTTAGTATAAAACTAAAGGGATAAACGCTAATCTGACGCCCTGCGCTGCGTGTTGACTGCAGGTATGCTGGTCTGACAGACTCCTCACTATGTTCCAGGAGGTTTTCCTTCTCCCAGCAGAAAGGAGGCGTGTCCTCTCTGACTGTCACTCTTCATCTCTATCATGTTTTTTATAGTTTCACTTGTTTCATGGAGCCTCATAGAAAACCTGGTCAGGATCAGAGGATCAGGCTCCATGGGCCTCATAGATCTATGCTTCAGGGTTGCTAGGCAACCATAGTTGGGGAGGGGGGGGGAAACCGATCCATCCGTCCATCTATGGGAGCACGGATAGAAAGGGTTCAGCTGCATGTCTGCCTCTGAGCAAGGCACTTTGACTGGAGCATGTGCTTCCACTGTCAGTGCAGCAGAGGGCGCACTAACAGCATCTATCAGTGATTCTGCATTCAAACTAATTATTTCTGTTTCCTGATAGTAAAGAATTCCAATCGGTCTCCGCCAGTCACGTGACTTTTGTTGCTAAGACGCCGTTTTAGGTGGAAAAGGCGTAGTGTAAACAACCGCAGCATAGCTAAACGAAGGACTAAAGGCCTGTTTACATAGCAGCCTGTCCAAGATAAGTCATTACAGTTAACATAAGCCTGAAAACAGGGGTGGATTTAGGAAAATCGGTCTCCGCCAGTCACGTGACATTTGTTGCTAAGACGCCATTTTAGGTGTAAAAGGCACAGTGTACCGCGCCCGAGGTAAACAATTGACGTCACTTGGCGGAGACCGATAGCAACAAATGCATGGACTGGTTCCTCATGTTCATCAGCAGCGTTCCACCTGCAGCACCACTGATCAGCAGCAGGCGGCCATTTTTCAGCCAGAAGGGAAACAGCTTTGGATCCTTCAGCTGACCGACCGCGCTGCAGCCTCACTGACATGTTGCTCTGCTGCTTTACCCTCCTGACCACAAGCATCCAAACCAGCTCCACACTCTGGAGAACTGACCCCCCCAAGACTGAACGCCCCCCCCCCCCCCCCCAAAAAAAAAAAAAAAACAAACAAACAGAACCCAGAAGAAGCAGCCGATGGACAGGACACTGCTCTGGGTTCCAGCTCGTCAGCTTCCTGGTTTCTGTTTGTTCTTCAGATCCTTTCACAGCAGAATCAAAAATCAACAAACTTTGTAAAAAAAACAGAAAACTTTTGTGTGATGATGATGATCAGAAAGGGGTGGAGCTTAGGGTCCGGTTCTGTTAGATCTTTAAACAGGCCGTTCTGGTTCCTCTCAGAGGGGAGGGGAGGTGATCCTCCCCTCAGGGCCTCATGGAGGAGGATCAGAACCGGCCCGCTCCTCATGGCTCCTGGTCTCACCGCGCTCCTGCTCTCCATCTGTCTCCTGCAGCTACGTGAAAAAGGAAACGGAGGCGGGCGCCGCCATGGCCAGACTGAAGGAGCTGGAGGCCCAGCTGAACAGCAGAGACGCCACGCTGACGACGGCGCTGTCTGAGAAGAGAGGCCTGGAGAGCAGCCTGACTGAGCTGCAGGAGCAGCTCCAGGAGGTACTGAAGAGAGGAGTCCTCCTCTCCTCCTCAGCCCACAGCGCCATAACCTCCTCCCCGTTGTCCCCCCCCCCCAGATGGAGACGGCTCTAGCTCAGACCAAGAAGCAGCTGGCCGATGAGATGCTGACGCGCATCGACCTGGAGAACCGCTGCCAGAGTCTGACTGAGGAGATGGAGTTCAGGAGGAGCGTGCATGAGGAGGTGAGGCGGCTTTGGTGGGCAGGGGTGGAACCCCGCCGCCATCTTTAAACCTGGAGGGAGGGGCTGCGGAAACATCAGGATGGCCAAAGTGTAGCATTTAGCAGCACCTTTCTGTCAGAGGGGGCCGAGCATATTCCTGGCTAACGTAGAAGCATTGGACCTAGATTCTCACATCTAGACGTCACATGAGTCTTAGATCTGCATGGCCGCCATGGTTTGAACTAATCCTCTCCTTTTGCCCGATAGAGGAGCAGATCAGTGAGAACTGTTAGCCTAGATGTTTGATACGTCGTTTGAAAGCAGCTTCTAGTTTCTGACATTAGAAATAAAAACAATGCGACTGAAACACGACCTAAACTGCAGCATTTAAACGTGACTCAATATCAGATAAGAAGATAAAGAGGCTTTATTGATCTCAGTGGACAAATTCACATCGACTCAATAGACAGACTAAGGAGGCAAAACAGGAGGAGCTGCATGGAGGAGAACCTGACGTAGAAATAGAGCATCCAGATTTCTAGAATGGATCCAGAGGAAAGAGATTTAAGGTGACTTAAACACGTGGATGTAGTGTTGAACATTAAAGTGGTAAAAAACAGCTCAGTGAGAGACTATCACAGCTGGAGGCTCTGATTAACAGGCTGTTGCTCAGATATAGATGGATATTTCTATATAGATGGGTATTTCTATATAGATGGATATTTCTATATAGATGGGTATTTCTATATAGATGGATATTTCTATATAGATGGGTATTTCTATATAGATGGGTATTTCTATATAGATGGATATTTCTATATAGATGGGTATTTCTATATAGATGGATATTTCTATATAGATGGGTATTTCTATATAGATGGATATTTCTATATAGATGGGTATTTCTATATAGATGGCTATTTCTATATAGATGGGTATTTCTATATAGATGGCTATTTCTATATAGATGGGTATTTCTATATAGATGGGTATTTCTATATAGATAGATATTTCTATATAGATGGGTATTTCTATATAGATGGGTATTTCTATATAGATAGATATTTCTATATAGATGGGTATTTCTATATAGATAGATATTTCTATATAGATGGGTATTTCTATATAGATGGGTATTTCTATATAGATGGGTATTTCTATATAGATGGATATTTCTATATAGATGGGTATTTCTATATAGATAGATATTTCTATATAGATGGGTATTTCTATATAGATAGATATTTCTATATAGATGGATATTTCTATATAGATGGGTATTTCTATATAGATAGATATTTCTATATAGATGGGTATTTCTATATAGATGGGTATTTCTATATAGATGGGTATTTCTATATAGATGGGTATTTCTATATAGATAGATATTTCTATATAGATGGGTATTTCTATATAGATAGATATTTCTACATAGATGGGTATTTCTACATAGATGGGTATTTCTACATAGATGGGTATTTCTACATAGATGGATATTTCTACATAGATGGGTATTTCTATATAGATGGGTATTTCTATATAGATAGATATTTCTACATAGATGGGTATTTCTACATAGATGGGTATTTCTACATAGATGGGTATTTCTACATAGATGGATATTTCTACATAGATGGGTATTTCTACATAGATGGATATTTCTACATAGATGGGTATTTCTACATAGATGGGTATTTCTATATAGATGGGTATTTCTACATAGATGGGTATTTCTATATAGATGGGTATTTCTACATAGATGGGTATTTCTATATAGATGGGTATTTCTATATAGATAGATATTTCTACATAGATGGGTATTTCTACATAGATGGGTATTTCTACATAGATGGGTATTTCTACATAGATGGATATTTCTACATAGATGGGTATTTCTACATAGATGGGTATTTCTATATAGATGGGTATTTCTACATAGATGGGTATTTCTATATAGATGGGTATTTCTATATAGATGGGTATTTCTATATAGATGGGTATTTCTATATAGATGGGTATTTCTATATAGATGGGTATTTCTATATAGATAGATATTTCTATATAGATGGGTATTTCTATATAGATGGGTATTTCTATATAGATGGGTATTTCTATATAGATGGGTATTTCTACATAGATGGATATTTCTATATAGATGGATATTTCTATATAGATGGGTATTTCTATATAGATAGATATTTCTATATAGATGGGTATTTCTATATAGATGGGTATTTCTATATAGATGGATATTTCTACATAGATGGGTATTTCTATATAGATGGGTATTTCTACATAGATGGATATTTCTATATAGATGGATATTTCTACATAGATGGGTATTTCTATATAGATGGGTATTTCTACATAGATGGGTATTTCTACATAGATGGATATTTCTATATAGATGGATATTTCTATATAGATGGGTATTTCTATATAGATGGGTATTTCTATATAGATGGGTATTTCTATATAGATGGGTATTTCTATATAGATGGGTATTTCTATATAGATGGGTATTTCTATATAGATGGGTATTTCTATATAGATAGATATTTCTATATAGATGGGTATTTCTACATAGATGGATATTTCTATATAGATGGGTATTTCTATATAGATAGATATTTCTATATAGATGGGTATTTCTACATAGATGGATATTTCTATATAGATGGATATTTCTATATAGATGGGTATTTCTATATAGATGGGTATTTCTATATAGATGGATATTTCTACATAGATGGGTATTTCTATATAGATGGGTATTTCTACATAGATGGATATTTCTATATAGATGGATATTTCTATATAGATGGGTATTTCTATATAGATAGATATTTCTATATAGATGGGTATTTCTACATAGATGGATATTTCTATATAGATGGATATTTCTATATAGATGGGTATTTCTACATAGATGGGTATTTCTATATAGATGGGTATTTCTATATAGATGGGTATTTCTATATAGATGGGTATTTCTATATAGATGGGTATTTCTACATAGATGGGTATTTCTATATAGATGGGTATTTCTACATAGATGGGTATTTCTACATAGATGGGTATTTCTACATAGATGGGTATTTCTACATAGATGGGTATTTCTACATAGATGGGTATTTCTACATAGATGGGTATTTCTATATAGATGGGTATTTCTATATATAGCATCTCTACAACAGACTTCCCTTCCTCCCCCATCCTCTGGTGTGTCTGCATGATCAGTCATTATCATGATGGTTTGATCTCCTTCGCGTTGTAAACAAAATGGCTCCTCCTGTACACCGCTATCCGAGCCGCACGCCGTGACTGCGAAGTTAAGCTAGCTACGGTTACCTAGTGACCAGTATCAGCCCTGTGATGCTGCTGACTGAGCGGCGTGAGGCGCTGCGGGACGGGCGCCGTGCGGGACGGGCGCCGTGCGGGACGGGCGCCGTGCGGGACGGATGGAGAAACCATTAAAAATGAATTCTAAACCATTGCGTTTCTTAACGTCCATTCTTCCGCAGCTTGTAAGTTTCTTCTTGTTGATGAAGATCATTTTATATTCTCGTCATATTTTTATTTTCTGAAGAATAAAATTGGTGCGTCATCGTCTCGTCATCGTCACGGGGAAAAGTTGCAGACTGACGTTTTAATGGCGGTCCGTGTGTGGGTTCCATTCCAGCTTCCCTGGGAGTCATGCTGACGTGCTCCTGGGCCAGGCAGCGGGGTGGGTGTGGGTGTGTTTCCCAGGTGCAGACCGTGCTGCTCAGCCAGGAGGCGGCGGCTCTGTAACCATGGAGACCGAGCTCAGCATCAGGACCTTCTGCTGTGATCTGCAGGAGGTGAAGGAGGCGCGGCATCGCTACGAGAGCCGCCTGGTGGAGGTGGACTCTGGGAGGAAGGAGGAGTACGAATGTAAACTGAGCCGGGCGCTGGCGGACATGAGGGCCCAGAACCAGGAGCAGGTCCACATCTACAAGGACAACATGGAGAGCACCTACAGGGCCAAGGTGGGTGAAGGCTGGGATTATGCTGGGAGTACTGGTCTGAGTTTGATCATCGCTTTGGTTTCTGATAATGAATCAAAGTAAATAAATGAAGTTGGGTGATAAAGGTCCAAATTAAGGCCTTTATCGTTATAAACCTGATCTAACAGGAGTTAGTGTTTGATCAAAGCTACGTTTCCTAAATGTCTGTTTCTCAAACTCTGAAATGAATCTAAGCCAGAGGTCTTCAACAGGGGGTCCGTGACCCCTAGGGGGTCCACAGAGGTACTTCATGGGGGTCACCAAAGTTTTGGTTATTTACGCTTTTTTTTTAAATATATATATATATTCCCTCTTGCAATTTTTTCCACTATTTAAAATGTCTTTAAATCCACATTAACATGAATCCAACAGACTGCAGTAAACAGATAAATGGAGGCAGAAGATGCATTCAGTGACACACAGGAGCTCTTTCAAGTACTGTTTCATTCACTACACCTGTCCCATCAACCAGGAAGCAGAAATACTTTAATAATCCCAGGGAGGGATTACTTTAGTTACATTACTCCATCTGTAATAGAGTGACTATAGGACCAGTTTGATAGAACACTATTTCATACCACATATATAATTAGGGGGTCCGCACTCCATCTCACAATCTGTTTGGGGTCCTTGGCCTGGAAAACGTTGAAGACCTCTGATCTAAGCTGCAGATTTTAATAGCCCCCACTGAGCCCCCCCACAGAGGTCCGGTCAGAATAAGCTGGTCTTTGCTGATGAAGGAACCTGATGAGCAGGAGTAGATCCTGTCTGGTTCCTCAGAATGTGGACCAACCTGCTCGGCTTCATGGCTGCCCTGCAGTCAAACTGCAACAAAGTCAAATGTTTCACCAACTTCCTGTTTGTCAGGAAGTTGGTGAACGTCTCGCTTCCTCTTTAGGTTGAAGAGTTGAAGTTCGGTCGACTGAAACTGTTTTCTTTCTCCAGCTGGAGGACCTGCAGCGTTTATCGGAGATGAACGGAGCGTCGGGCGACGCAGCGCGGGAGGAGCTCAGAGAGGCCGCCCTGAGGATGGAGAGCCTGAGCGCCCAGCTGGCGGCGCTGCAGAAGGAGGTCTGAACGTCTCTCCTTTCCTTAGACCGGACCGCTGCCGGGTCAGTGACGGGTCCAGCTGCTCTCCTCAGATCAACCAGAACCAGAGGATCTCCTCCTGGTTCTGGTTCTGAGCTCAACCTCACAGCTTTGAAGGCTCCTCCGTGAGGAAGCAGCTGGAGGCCCGGGACCCGCTGGAGGCCCGGTCCAATGGGTTAGTCCTCTGGACTGGTCTAGATGGAGTTCTGCGGTCGGTCGGTCCTCTGGAAGCCGGTTCCGGATCGGGAACATGGTTTTCAGTCGGACCGGATCCCTGATGCCTCTTATCGGAGCTCCGACCTGTTCTTCTTCTTCTTCTACTCCTCAAAGCGCTGACCTTCCTTCCTTCCTTCCTTCCTTCCTTCCTTCCTGTGTCCTCAGACGCGCGGCTGGAGGGAGCGCATAGCGGAGCTGGAGGCGGCTTTAGCTCAGGAGAAGGACAACAGCCGGCGGCAGCTAGCAGAGAAGGACCGGCAGGTGGCGGAGATCCAGTCCAAGATGCAGCAGCAGCTGAACGAGTACGAGCAGCTGCTGGACGTCAAGCTGGCGCTGGACATGGAGATCAACGCCTACCGCAAGCTGCTGGAGGGAGAAGAAGAAAGGTGGAGGAGGAGCAGCCTGAGGAGCCGGCAGGTCCCACGCCGCCGCCGCCGCCTCTAAAGCCGTGTCTCTGTGCTCCAGGCTAAAGCTGTCTCCCAGCCCTGCGTCCCGGGTCACCGTGTCCAGAGCCTCGTCCAGCAGCCGCAGCGTTCAGACGGCGCGGGGGAAGAGGAAGCGCATGGAGGTGGAGGAGCAGGAGGCCAGCAGCTCCGTGTCCGTCTCTCACTCCGCTTCGGCCACCGGACCCGTCTGCATCGACGAGGTCGACACCGACGGGAAGTTCGTGCGTCTCCATAACAGCGGCGATGAGGTGAGCTCCGTGAACGCTGCTCTGGTTCTGGTCCGGACTCGCTGGTACCACAGTCAGGTTCTCTGTTCTCCAGGACCAGGCCATGGTGGGCTACGAGATGGTGAAGAAGGTGGGAAACCTGAGCGCCACCTACAGGTTTACCCCCAAATACGTCCTGAAGGCCGGCCACAAGGTGACGGTAAGGGCGTGCCGGCGCCGCCGCTCCGTCTGCAGACCCAGAGCAGGACTGAGGCGGCTTTCTGTGTGCAGATCTGGGCGTCGGATGCAGGAGTGAGCTCCAGGCCTCCCACAGACCTGCTGTGGAAAAACCAGACCTCCTGGGGGTCTGGAGAAGATGTCAGCGTGCTGCTGATCAGCCCCCAGGGAGAGGTGACGCTTTCTGATTGGCTGTTCGCTCGGCTTCCATGGATTCAGGATTTAAAATGACCTTTTGTTTTAACAGGAAGTGGCAAAGAGAACCACCAGATACCAGATCGCAGAGGAAGATCAGGATGAGGATGACTATGGAGTGGAGGCCGTGGAGAAGGACGTCCAGCAGCAGGTCAGGATTCACTTTGGTTGGAAGATCTTTGGGTCCCACCTGTTCCCAAAGTTTGAACTCAAACGTTTGTCTGACGTAGAAATGAATGTTTAGCAGGAAGAACCAGTAACGCACATCTAGAAATGATCTATAAACGCGAAGATCAAAGGTCAGTCTGAAGACGGCAGCCTGACACCGACATGACCTCCACTGGTCAGAACACTGAGCTACACCCACCGCTCCTCACTGGGGCGGAGACTCGTCCCACAAGGAGGATCCCCGATCGGTTCCCCCGACCTCTGCCCGGTCCGTTCCCCCGACCTCTGCCCGGTCCGTTCCCCCGACCTCTGCCCGGTCCGTTCCCCCGACCTCTGCCCGGTCCGTTCCCCCGACCTCTGCCCGATCCGTTCCCCCGACCCGCTGCCCGATCCGTTCCCCCGATCCGTTCCCCCGACTGCTGCCTGCCCGGACCTCTGCCCGATCCGTTCCCCCTCGACCTCTGCCCGATCCGTTCCCCCTCGACCTCTGCCCGATCCGTTCCCCCTCGACCTCTGCCCGATCCGTTCACCCTCGACCTCTGCCCGATCCGTTCCCCCTCGACCTCTGCCCGAGCCGTTCGACCTCTGCCCGATCAGTTCCCCCGGACCGCTGCCCGAGCCGTTCGACCTCTGCCCGATCAGTTCCCAGAATTGTTTAAACATGGCAGAAAATAAGCAGTAACAGTGGTGGTAGCCATGGATGAGACCATGATGGTTCATTCTGGGGCTGCAACAACAAATCGATAAAATCGACTTTTAAAAGCGTTGGCAACGAATTTCATCATCGATTAGTTGTGTCGCGCGATTAATGCGTCATCCGCCACCGTCGGCAGCTGCTGCCGTTGGGCGCCTCCCCCATCCCAACCCCGTTCTCCCGCAGGAGTCCCTCTCAGCGCTGCAGTCAGAGCCGCAGGATGTTTACCCTCAGCATCCAGACTGCAAATGAAGCGTGCATGCGCCGGGATTGAAGGCGCAAATTGATCACAATAATTAAAATAGCCTGCGCTTTGTAAAGTAAAAAAAGTTGTAACATCCAACTTTTGTCAAAACAAATGAACATGGCACGGAACCACCGCTGTTATGACGCAGCACCTGAAAAGGAAACACGTTGGAGCCTTCGATGGCAGTGAAGAGAGCTGATCAGCAGGGTGAGCGGCCATGTTTGTTTGGTTTTAAAGTGGGGAAACGTAACGTTAGTTTCTCAGGTAGCTCATCTGATGCTTTCCTTACCGTGTTAGTAGGTTACAGACAGGGATAAGGTTGGCTCCTTATTTTACTTTTAATTTCATTTGAATTAGCTTAAGCAGCGTTTATATTTACTTTATAAATAAATTAACTTGCAAATTATGAGGGCAAGGCTTTTAAAGTTTAAATCTTCTGGCAAAGATAAAGTAAAGAAGATCCTGCAATTTATGGAAGTAAAGCAGAATAAAATCCAGCAAGATCAGTAATATGTCAATTAATTATCTGCCACATTCCCATGTAAATATCTGTCTTTGGAGGATGTGTTTTTTAGCACCCCTAGTTCTCTCATTTTTATTCCAAATACAATTTATAATTTGAATCACAGGGCTATTTTTATCTCTATGGTTCAGTATTTTCTCAAGTAGCAACTTTAACTGCTATACTTTCCTGTCTTAAAAGGCAGAACTCTTCTAGTCTAAAAAAAACTCATTTGTTGAAATGGGGGGGCCTATTGTTTGAACCCCTTAGGGGCTTTTAAAAGCAAAAATGTCTTTTTTTGCGCTTTATGAAACAAAGTAGCCTATATTTTGTGGATGTACAGCTACATTTCTCATGTAAGTTTGCGTAGTTTTAACACAAACATTTATTTTTCATATTGCACCAGTACAGTTAATGAGCAACCTGTACTTGTGTGCTTGTTTGTTCTGTCTAAAAGGTTTATTTTGGAATAAAGAGGTTAATATAAAAAATATTTTTTGTCAGATTAATCGATTAATCGAAAAAATTAAATTAAATAGTTGCAGCCCTAGTTCATTCCTAGACCAGAACCAGAACCAGAACCGTCTGAGCTGAGCTCAGGTTCAGCAGTGAAACATCTTTTCTCTTCTGTTCACCAACATCATCCAAAGCTGTAGACACTGGCGCCCGGCGGTGCGTTCAGGAAAGTTGGTTTTTATGGTTTTCTGTGTGCTTCTCCACAGGCCGCCGCCCAGACGGGCTGCTCCATCATGTGACCCGGCCAGCCGCCGCCGCTAAGCCCCGCCCCTCTGCTGCCAGCCTTCAGAGTGATATTTTTCTAGATTTTGTAGTTTCAGCTGAATGTTTTTGGAGTTTTTCTTTTTTTTTTTTTTTTGAGAACCAAATGAAGTAGGATGTTGGGAGTCTTCAGACCAAGTAGCCGAGCTGAAGATGAGAAGGATGTCGTCTTTTTTAAGCCCGTTATTTTTAAGCTTTCTGTGATTGTAGGGTTTTAAAGAGGACCGTTTTTTATTGCCTCCATCACAATCGTGAGCCCAGTGATGGAGGCTGAAGGATCAAGACACTAAGAAGTGATTTCTGCTTTATTCACCATGTCTGCAGTGTTGATTGTATTCATTTCTAATACTTTTTGTTTCCATTATGATGCATGCTTTCTATAACCAGAGTTCAGTTAAAGCTTTTTCTGTTACGGTATGCTAATAAATGGCGCTCTGCAGCCAACCGTTTGCCTCCATAAACTGAACTTCTTTCCCTTCTTTGCTCCACTGACTTTATTTTAGCTTCTGGATATTTTAACTTGTTTTGTGTGACTGCATGCTCCCATCTGTCCTCATTGTCAATAAAACGATCAAATAAAAGGAAATATTGCCTCAGTTTCTCTTTTTAACGATGTTTAAATGTAGAGTAAGCATGAAAACCGTCATTTAGGAAGAACATTAAAACATTTACTGTATAAAAATATATCATTTAATTCATAATGCTTCTGATACTTTAAACAGTCATGCTTTTCAGGAGGGAGGTTTAAATCGGTTTTATTATCTTCAGTTTGTCCAGGACGGCTGAGGGGAGGGGCATCTTTACTTTATGGAAATGATGCCATATTGAATGTAATTAAGTAGGTTTTGGCCTAATTTAGTTTAAAATGAAACCAAAGAGAACCTTTATTGACATCCTGTCACAGAACAGTTCCTGTTAATGAAACTAAAGTTCTTTCGAAGCCACTTGGTAAAGTTTGAACGTCAGCAGACCTGATTTGAAGAAGAACCAGGAACCAACCTGCTCCTTCCTCCTTTCACTAAGATTAGCCTCTAAATGTTCAATTCAACCAATTTTCTTTTTGTTCATTTTTATAAACTTTATAGCAAAAAGAAAAGGATTTATTTGAAGTTCCTGAAAGAATTGTGCAAACTGCAGTGACTAAAGGTGTCCAGAGGGGGGCGATGGAGATCCGGGGGCCACAGGTCTGCCTCCAGCTGATAACAGTCTGTTTGCCTGCATGAGCAGATAAAGTTTAATCTGCATTAATTATGAAGGAGCGTTATTATTCAGATGAGTAAACATCTGGTTCATTAAAAGCAGCAAAGTTTCTGGATCAGAGAAATTCTTAGTTTGATTCATCGTTTCTGTTTGATGGAGGATTTTCCACTGCAGGTTTCAGAAGTTTTATTTTCAGCACATTGAGCTTCTACTGAAGATTCATTGACAATCTTTCATTTATTCCCAAACTGAAGCATCTTTTCTCCTGAGCTGGAAAAAAAACAACATTTTAACTCTTGGCTGCTGGTGGTCATCTCCATAAAGTTCATTAGCACAGAGATACATGACATAGATGAGACAGTGGTCTGCTTTATGGCTGCTATGGTGACCTGTCACTATGACGACAGAAGCAGAGTTCATAGTTTTAAAATGAGGAAGTTATGTCCCCTAAAAAGCCATTGCGCCTCAGGGGGGCTTCCTCACGGTCCTTTTCCTGGGAGCAAGTTATTTACTGCTCTTACCTCAAACTGGGTAAAACATATAAAACAGGAGTAAAAAGTAACAGTTTATTCCAGATCAGGTCGTTATAGGACACAGAAAAATGCTTGGAGCTTCCACAGCTGTGGGCTCGGCAAAGATTGAGCCTCGAACAAGGTCATCTTCTCCTTCTTATAGCTCATGAGTCTATGTGTTGCATCATGTGGATGCTTAGCTGTCCGTATCAGAAACTGTCTCAGGGTTACAGCTCTCCTATCAGACCGGCTCCTAGATGTTCCCATATCCTGTGTATTCCTAAAGACCCGAAGGCTGTCCTGATTAGATGACCTCCGTACACACAGTGACATCCACCATGTGAAGGAAGTCCTGCTGCTCTCTAATCTGACTAACAGAGTAACAATGCACATCATGTATAAATAATAAACCTAACATTAGATTGAACCATTTGCCAAAGAAAGATGGATGCTCTGATGATGGTTATAGAAATATAAAACAACTTTAATGATGTTTGTTTCTGCTGTAAAGCTGCAGCCTTCTGCTCCTGGTGCCTCATTTGCTCACTGAGACATTTTTACAGCAAATTAAAAAGCCTTTCTGAGCCAAACCCCGCCCATCAGAACCAACCAATCACAGCCCTCTGTAGTGAGGAAGCAGCCAATGAGGAAACAGTCGCTGCTCTATGTGAATGGGTTTGTGTAACGGGGGCGGGGCGTAGTGAGAAAGCCCCTCCTACTCAACAACAAGCGTCACATGACTTCACTTCCTGAGTGGGTCAAGCCCACGGTCTGAGTGGCTCCAAAGGAAACCGAAACGCGTCCCTTCAAAATAAAACTGATGGAATATAAACAGGATCAGAACCTTCTAGTAGAACTTTGAAGCAGAACCTTCCAGCAGATGGACCTGCTGCAGGAGGAACTGGGTCATGGTCTCACTGGTTTGTCTGCTTCTGCTCTGGCTGATGGGTAGAAGGTTCTGGTTCTGAGGAGTCCGGGACCAGGGGAACTTTATTCTGAAAGGACTCTGGCTCATTTCCGGTCCAGTACTGCCTCACCTGACGGCTCCTTACGTCACCCAGGGAGCGTGTTTATGAAACTGACAGTGACGGGTGGCGGCAGTCAGCCGCAGACATGGACTGGTCCCGGTTCTGGTTCTGGTCCTGGTCCTGGTTCTGGTCCCTGGCAGCAGGCCTCCTGGTCGCTCATGTTCTCCAGAGGTCCTGCTTCCCGTTCTTCTGGAAGGATCTGCTCTTCCTCTCCAAGGTGATCCGCTACGGCGCGAGGCTGGAGCTCTTCAAGCTGACGGCCCGGGTCCAGACGGTTCTGGACCGGTTCGTGGACCAGGCGCAGCGGATCCCCGATAAGCCGTTCATCATCTGTGAAGGCTCGGTCCACAGCTACCGGGACGTGGACCTGCGCAGCAACAGGCTGGCCAACGCGTTCCTGCAGCAGCAGCGGGGCCCCCAGAGGGGCTCCTGCGTGGCGCTGTTCATGAGCAACGAAGCGGACTTTGTGAGCGCCTGGTTCGGCTTGGCTAAGCTCGGATGTTCGGTGGCTTTCCTCAACATCAACATCAGGTCCAAGAAGTCTCTGCTGCACTGCTTCGACTGCTGCGGGGCCCGAACTCTGCTCATCGGCTCAGGTAGGGCCCTTCCTCACCTCCATCATCATCATCATCAGGTTGATCTAAAACCAAACTTTATTCTAAAACTCTTTACTGTGGCCGACTCGTCGCGCATGCGCAGTGTGAGTCATGGAGGCCCGACAGGCGCGGCTGGTTTTTCCTCCCAGTCCAGTTTGGATCGGTACCAGCGCGCGCTGCGGGGAGCCTCCATGCCTGCCACTGAAAAGGTCCTGTTGGTGCAGCAGAACCGCTGCCGCACCTGCTGACCACCACCACTGACACTGGCTGAGATCTGTCATCTTAGATCTGTTCTGTTCAGTTCTATTCAGTTTATATCTATAGCGCCAATTCACATCATGTCATCTCAGGTCACTTTCCAGTTCACCAGATCATCCAGTCAGATTGATTCAAAGTTTTCTGTCTAAGGAAAACCAGCTGATTGCATCGACTCATTGACTCTTCAGCAATCCCTCACACTAAGCATGCTTGTAGCGACAGTGGAGAGGAAAAACTCCCTTTGAACAGGAAGAAACCTCCAGCAGAACCAGGCTCAGTGTGAGCGGCCATCTGCTGAGGCCCACTGGGGTTCAAGGAGACAGAAGCAGACATAGAAAAAGAATCATAGATAAAAAAGGCAACTGTCAACCAGCTCCACAGGCGGCCCCGTCCAGGAAACACACAGCCAGGCAGACGAGCTCCGAGCCAGCTCCCATGTCAGAGGATGAAGAGAGCACATCCAGTTAGTCACAGTCAGAGAAACAGGACTACACTGGAAAACAGGCCAAGCTCCAACATCTAGAAACAAAGGTGTTGATGGCAGCAGCACAGCTGATATTTCTCTCCAGGATGGAGTCACAGCCAAACAGGAACAGACCAGATGAAGCTACTATGAGAAAAAGCAGAGAGAGCAGAACGTTAGAGATTGAACTAACAGATTCTGCAGAGTGGGAGAATAGAGATAGAATGAAGCAGAATGATGAAAAAGGGGTCCCTATGTCCTCCAGCAGTCTAAGCCTATAGCAGCAGAACTATAGAGATAGATCAGGATAACCTGAGCCACTCTAACTAGAAGCTTTATCAAAAATGAAAGTTTTAAGCCTAGCCTTAAAAGTAGACAGGGTGTCTGCCTCACGGACTAAAACTGGTAGTTGGTTCCACAGGAGAGGAGCCTGATAACTAAAAGATCTGCCTCCCATTCTACTTTAAACCTGCAGATTGAGAGCGAAGTGCTCTGTTAGGAACATAAGGAACAATCAGATCTCTGATATCAGATGGAGCTTGGCCATTTAAGGCTTTATATGTGAGAAGGAGGATTTTAAATTCTATTCTGGATTTAACAGGAAGCCAATGAAGAGAAGCCAGGATAGGAGAGATATGATCTCTCTTTTTCATTTTCATCAGAACTCTGGCTGCAGCATTTTGGATCAGCTGAAGGCTTTTAACTACAGTTTGTGGACTTCCTGATAGTAAAGAATTACAATAGTCCAGCCTTGAAGTAACAGATGCATGGACTAGTTTCTCAGCATCACCCCTGGACAGGATATTTCTAATTTTTGCAATATTCCTCAGATGAAAGAAGGATATTCTAGAAACCTCTTTGATCTGGGATTTAAATGACAGGTCCTGATCAAAAATAACACCAAGATTTTTTACTTTATTATCTGAAATCAGTTTAATCCCATCCAAATGAAGTGACTGGCTAATCAGCTTCTTTTTCAGAGACTCTGGTCCAAAGACTATAACTTCTGTTTTGTCTGCATTCAGAAGCAGAAAGTTAAGAGTCATCCAGGTTTTTCTGTCTTCAGACATGCCTGTAATCTATGTAATGGGTTAGCTTCATCTGGATTATAGACAGATATAGCTGAGTATCGTCAGCATAACAGTGGAAATTAATCCCATGCTGTCTAATAACTCTACCAATTGGGAGCATGTATAAAGTAAAGAGAATTGGTCCTAGCACTGATCCCTGTGGTACTCCACAGGTAACCTTTGAGCGTGTTGAAGATTATTGAATTGATTATTGAAAGCCCTTTGGGAAACTCCTCCAACTCCCATTGTCATTGTGACACAGCGCACACAAGTGAACACTGCACACCATGAAATTGCATTTATGCCTCACCCGTGCAAGGGGGCAGCCCTCAATGGCGCCCCAAGGGAGCAGTGTGGCAGGACGGTACCATGCTCAGGGTACCTCAGTCATGGAGGAGGATGGGGGAGAGCGCTGGTTAATTACTCCCCCCACCAACCTGGCGGGTCGGGAGTCGAACCGGTAACCTTTGGGATCCAAGTCTGACACCCTAACCGCTCACCCACGACTGCCTCTACTCACCCACTCACCCACTCACCCACTCACCCACCCACTCACCCACTCACCCACGACTGCCTCACTAGATCTATCATTAACATGAACAAACTGAAATTGATCAGATAGATCAGATTTAAACCAGTCTAGAGCTGTTCCTTTAATTCCAACAAAATATTCAAGTCTTTCTAAAAGAATATTATGGTCAACTGTATCAAATGCAGCACTAAGATCCAACAGGACGAGCACAGATACAAGTCCATTATCTGAGGCCATGAGAATATCATTAGTGACTTTCACCAGAGCTGTTTCAGTGCTATGATGAGCTCTAAAGCCAGACTGAAACTCTTCAAAAAGTTCATTATGGTGGAAGTGATCGCACACTTGTTTGGCAACTACTTTCTCAAGAATTTTAGATAAAAAGGGAAGATTGGATATAGGTCTATAATTGACCAAGTCATCTGGGTCAAGAGACGGTTTCTTAAGCAGAGGTTTAATTACAGCAACCTTAAAAGCCTTTGGTACATATCCCTGTAACAGAGATAGATTAATCACATCTAAAATGGAGGAGGAGATCAAAGGGAATACCTCCTTAAATAACCTGGTTGGAACTGGATCTAACATACAAGTTGAAGGCTTAGATGAAGACAATAATTTTGCTAACTCTGAAAGTTCAACTGGATCAAAGCAGTCTAAACCCGGTTCAGATTCCATGACTACCTCAGGTACAATCGCGGATAGAGGAGTGCTTATGATCTTATTAAAAATAAGATCAATCTTATTTATAAAGAATCCCATAAAATCATTGCTGCTAGCAGCAGGTGGAATGGACAGTTCAACAGAGCTATGGCTCTGGGTGAGATTGACAACTGTATTAAAAAGAAATCTAGGATTATTCTCATTCTCCTCTATTAATGAGGAAAAGTATGCTGCTCTTGCTTTACAAAGGGTCCTCTTATACAGCAGTAAACCATTTCTCCAGACTAGGAAGGACTCCTGCAGGCCTGTGGAGCGATATTTTCTCTCCAGTTTCCTAGCATTTTGCTTCAAAGTACGCAGCTCTGCATTAGACCAAGGAGCAAGCTTTCTATTTTTAACGGTTTTCATTTTCAAAGGAGCTGCGTTGTCTAAGGCAGTACGCAGAGAACTAGCAACCCCATCAACAAAATCATCAACCTGTGAAGGGGAATAAGCTAAGCTTTTGCACTCTGCAAAAAAAGTCCTTATATTCCTTCAGTTTTAAAGTCTCTCTGCCTAAATGGAGATGATGACCAGGAAGGAAAGTCATCCTGAATCGGTCTTTATTCTGATTGTTTTCAGTCTTTTCCGCGCAGAGAAGGACGCTGTGGTGACCGGCGGTGCAGTGAGCACCGTCGGAGGAACTTTGTCCCCAGGAACAGTCTGTAGCAGATCCTTCTGGGCCAAAAAGCTGTCCAGCAGATTAGCATCCATCCATTCCTCACTGTCTGCACAGTCTGAACCTTTTAGCTCCAGCGTTGGTCTTCTGTTTCTAATCACTTCCTCTTTGGAATGAAAGTCCGGTTCCAGTCCAAACCAGCCGTCGTTACATTCGGATCCAGCCGTCGTTCCATTCGGGACCAGCCGTCGTTCCATTCGGGACCAGCCGTCGTTCCAGTCCAAACCAGCCGTCGTTCCATTCGGGACTAGCCGTCATTCCAGTCCAAACCAGCCGTCGTTCCATTCGGGTCCAGCCGTCGTTCCGGTCGGAAGCAGCCTTCGTTCCATTCGGGACCAGCCGTCGTTGCATTCGGTGCCAGCCGTCGTTCCGGTCGGGACCAGCCGTCATTCCAGTCCAGACCAGCCGTCGTTCCATTCGGGACCAGCCGTCATTCCAGTCCAGACCAGCCGTCGTTCCGGTCGGGACCAGCCGTCGTTCCGGTCGGGACCAGCCGTCGTTCCGGTCGGGACCAGCCGTCGTTCCGGTCGGGACCAGCCGTCGTTCCGGTCGGGACCAGCCGTCGTTCCGGTCGGGACCAGCCGTCGTTCCAGTCCAGACCAGCCGTCGTTCCATTCGGGACCAGCCGTCATTCCAGTCCAGACCAGCCGTCGTTCCGGTCGGGACCAGCCGTCGTTCCATTCGGGACCAGCCGTCGTTCCATTCGGGACCAGCCGTCGTTCCGGTCGGGACCAGCCGTCGTTCCGGTCGGGACCAGCCGTCGTTCCATTCGGGACCAGCCGTCGTTCCGGTCGGGACCAGCCGTCGTTCCATTCGGGACCAGCCGTCGTTCCATTCGGGACCAGCCGTCGTTCCAGTCCAGACCAGCCGTCGTTCCATTCGGGACTAGCCGTCATTCCACTCCAAACCAGCCGTCGTTCCATTCGGGACTAGCCGTCATTCCAGTCCAAACCAGCCGTCGTTCCATTCGGGTCCAGCCGTCGTTCCGGTCGGAAGCAGCCTTCGTTCCACTCGGGACCAGCCGTCGTTGCATTCGGTGCCAGCCGTCGTTCCATTCGGGACCAGCCATCGTTCCAGTCCAGACCAGCCGTCGTTCCATTCGGGACCAGCCATCGTTCCAGTCCAGACCAGCCGTCGTTCCGGTCGGGACCAGCCGTCGTTCCGGTCGGGACCATTCGTCATTCCATTCGGGACCAGCCGTCGTTCCGGTCGGGACCAGCCGTCGTTCCGGTCGGGACCAGCCGTCGTTCCAGTCCAAACCAGCTGTCGTTCCATTCGGACCCAGCCGTCGTTCCATTCGGGACCAGCCGTTGTTCCAGTCCAAACCAGCCGTCGTTCCATTCGGGACAAGCCGTCGTTCCGGTCGGAAGCAGCCGTCGTTGCATTCGGTACCAGCCGTCGTTCCAGTCGGGTCCAGCCGTCGTTCCGTTCGGGACCAGCTGTCGTTCCGGTCGGGACCAGCCGTCGTTCCATTCGGGACCAGCCGTCGTTCCATTCGGGACCAGCCGTCGTTCCAGTCCAGACCAGCCGTCGTTCCATTCGGGACTAGCCGTCATTCCAGTCCAAACCAGCCGTCGTTCCATTCGGGACTAGCCGTCATTCCAGTCCAAACCAGCCGTCGTTCCATTCGGGTCCAGCCGTCGTTCCGGTCGGAAGCAGCCTTCGTTCCACTCGGGACCAGCCGTCGTTGCATTCGGTGCCAGCCGTCGTTCCATTCGGGACCAGCCATCGTTCCAGTCCAGACCAGCCGTCGTTCCATTCGGGACCAGCCATCGTTCCAGTCCAGACCAGCCGTCGTTCCGGTCGGGACCAGCCGTCGTTCCGGTCGGGACCATTCGTCATTCCATTCGGGACCAGCCGTCGTTCCGGTCGGGACCAGCCGTCGTTCCGGTCGGGACCAGCCGTCGTTCCAGTCCAAACCAGCTGTCGTTCCATTCGGACCCAGCCGTCGTTCCATTCGGGACCAGCCGTTGTTCCAGTCCAAACCAGCCGTCGTTCCATTCGGGACAAGCCGTCGTTCCGGTCGGAAGCAGCCGTCGTTGCATTCGGTACCAGCCGTCGTTCCAGTCCAGACCAGCCGTCGTTCCGTTCGGGACCAGCTGTCGTTCCAGTTGGAAAGCAGCCGTCGTTCCGGTTAGATCCCATATCTCTGGGTTAAGGGCTGACATTAAGCTTAAAAAACGGTTGTTTTTTTGATCCGATTGGATCACTGGTATTAGAACTATTTCTTAAGCCAGAACCTGAAGTTCTTCAACATGTCGGAAGGATCCAGGGAATCTGATTCCATGCCATCAGGATCCAGATGGGGTTCCCTCATGAAGTCTTGGTTCTGACTCAGACGCCATGTTTGGTTCAAACTTCCCCTCAGTTTGTGACACAGATGTTGGATCTGAGCTGAACCAAGCGGTGAGGGGGCGCCATGCTCCTACATGATGATGATGAACCTTCATGGTCGCCTGAAGTTCCTCCGCTCTGCTCCCTGTGTTGCAGATTTACTGGAATGTCTGGACGGGGTCCTGCCGAGCCTTCTGGAGAACAACATCCAGGTGTGGACCATGAGGAGCCACTGTGAGCATCCACAGGTGCACACTCTGCCGGACAGGATAGCGGCAGCGTCCGATCAGCCGGTACCGGCCGACCTGCGCGCCGCCAGCTCCCTGAAAACCCCCACCCTCTACATCTTCACCTCTGGAACCACCGGTGAGTCTGAAACCAGGAACCCCAGGAAAGATGGCCGTTTGTTGAGTTGATGATAAACGATCCATAATGACCCTCTGGTTCCTCTGAGGAAGAGGCCTCATTCAAAGGTCCTCATTATGCTGAAGGAGAAGAACCGCTGGTCCTCCTGATGCCAAGAGTCACACTGACTGACTAGGTCTCCTCTGTCCATAATGTCCTTAAACGTCTCCTGTCCATAATGTCCTGAAACGTCTCCTGTCCATAGTGTCCTGAAACGTCTCCTGTCCATAGTGTCCTGAAACGTCTCCTCTGTCCATAATGTCCTGAAACGTCTCCTCTGTCCATAATGTCCTGAAACGTCTCCTCTGTCCGTAATGTGCTTAAAACGTCTCCTCTGTCCATAATGTCCTCAAACGTCTCCTCTGTCCATAATGTCCTCAAACGTCTCCTCTGTCCATAATGTCCTTAAAACGTCTCCTCTGTCCATAATGTCCTTAAAACGTCTCCTCTGTCCGTAATGTCCTGAAACGTCTCCTCTGTCCGTAATGTCCTTAAAACGTCTCCTCTGTCCGTAATGTCCTGAAACGTCTCCTCTGTCCGTAATGTCCTCAAACGTCTCCTCTGTCCGTAATGTCCTGAAACGTCTCCTCTGTCCGTAATGTCCTGAAACGTCTCCTCTGTCCGTAATGTCCTCAAACGTCTCCTGTCCATAATGTCCTTAAAACGTCTCCTCTGTCCATAATGTCCACAAACATCTCCTCTGTCCATAATGTCCTCAAACGTCTCCTGTCCATAATGTCCTGAAACGTCTCCTCTGTCCATAATGTCCTGAAACGTCTCCTCTGTCCATAATGTCCTGAAACGTCTCCACTGTCCATAATGTCCTGAATCGTCTCTTCTGTCCATAATGTCCACAAACGTCTCCTCTGTCCATAATGTCCACAAACGTCTCCTCTGTCCATAATGTCCTGAAACGTCTCTTCTGTCCATAATGTCCTGAAACGTCTCTTCTGTCCATAATGTCCACAAACGTCTCCTCTGTCCATAATGTCCTGAAACGTCTCTTCTGTCCATAATGTCCACAAACATCTCCTCTGTCCATAATGTCCTGAAACGTCTCTTCTGTCCATAATGTCCACAAACGTCTCCTCTGTCCATAATGTCCTGAAACGTCTCCTCTGTCCATAATGTCCTGAAATGTCTCCTCTGTCCATAATGTCCTGAAACGTCTCTTCTGTCCATAATGTCCTGAAACGTCTCCACTGTCCATAATGTCCTGAATCGTCTCTTCTGTCCATAATGTCCTGAAACGTCTCCTCTGTCCATAATGTCCTGAAATGTCTCCTCTGTCCATAATGTCCTGAAACGTCTCTTCTGTCCATAATGTCCTGAAACGTCTCCTCTGTCCATAATGTCCTGAAATGTCTCCTCTGTCCATAATGTCCTGAAACGTCTCCTCTGTCCATAATGTCCACAAACGTCTCCTCTGTCCATAATGTCCTGAAACGTCTCCTCTGTCCATAATGTCCTGAAATGTCTCCTCTGTCCATAATGTCCTGAAACGTCTCTTCTGTCCATAATGTCCTGAAACGTCTCCTCTGTCCATAATGTCCTTAAAATGTGTCTTCTGTCCATAATGTCCTGAAATGTCTCCTCAGGTCTCCCAAAGGCTGCGGTCATCACTCACCTGCAGAGCCTGAAGGCAGCTGGGGGCTTCTGGGCCTTCGGAGCGACTGAGAGGGACGTGATCTACATCCCGCTGCCGCTCTACCACAGCGCCGCGTCGCTCATCGGGATCGGAGGAACCATAGAGCTAGGTAGGTTTACTCCACAGGACCCACGCAATGTTACCATGGCAACACGATCAGAGGATGAGGAAACTCTCTGTGAAACAGAAAACTCAGTTTCCCTGATTTCAGGTTTAGAAAACTTAGTTTTCATTAAAAGATTCCTGCTCTGGTTCTGTGCCAGAGTTTGGTTTAAGAAAAATACAGAGTGGTTCATCTCATCGTCCCTCACCGCCGCCCTCATCGTCCCTCACCGCCGCCCTCATCGTCCCTCACTGCCGCCCTCATCGTCCCTCACCGCTGCCCTCATCGTCCCTCACCGCCGCCCTCATCGTCCCTCACTGCCGCCCTCATCGTCCCTCACCGCTGCCCTCATCGTCCCTCACCGCCGCCCTCATCGTCCCTCACCGCCGCCCTCATCGTCCCTCACCGCCGCTCTCATCGTCCCTCACCGCCGCCCTCATCGTCCCTCACCGCCGCTCTCATCGTCCCTCACCGCCGCCCTCGTCGTCCCTCACCGCCGCCCTCGTCGTCCCTCACCGCCGCCCTCGTCGTCCCTCACCGCCGCCCTCGTCGTCCCTCACCGCCGCCCTCGTCGTCCCTCACCGCCGCCCTCATCGTCCCTCACCGCCGCCCTCATCGTCCCTCACCGCCGCCCTCATCGTCCCTCACCGCCGCCCTCATCGTCCCTCACCGCCGCCCTCATCGTCCCTCACCGCCGCCCTCATCGTCCCTCACCGCCGCCCTCATCGTCCCTCACCGCCGCCCTCATCGTCCCTCACCGCCGCCCTCATCGTCCCTCACCGCCGCCCTCATCGTCCCTCACCGCCGCCCTCATCGTCCCTCACCGCCGCCCTCATTGTCCCTCACCGCCGCCCTCATCGTCCCTCACCGCCGCCCTCATCGTCCCTCACCGCCGCCCTCATCGTCCCTCACCGCCGCCCTCATCGTCCCTCACCGCCGCCCTCATCGTCCCTCACCGCCGCCCTCATCGTCCCTCACCGCCGCCCTCATTGTCCCTCACCGCCGCCCTCATCGTCCCTCACCGCCGCCCTCATCGTCCCTCACCGCCGCCCTCATCGTCCCTCACCGCCGCCCTCATCGTCCCTCACCGCCGCCCTCATCGTCCCTCACCGCCGCCCTCATCGTCCCTCACCGCCGCCCTCATCGTCCCTCACCGCCGCCCTCATCGTCCCTCACCGCCGCCCTCATCGTCCCTCACCGCCGCCCTCATCGTCCCTCACCGCCGCCCTCATCGTCCCTCACCGCCGCCCTCATCGTCCCTCACCGCCGCCCTCATCGTCCCTCACCGCCGCCCTCATCGTCCCTCACCGCCGCCCTCATCGTCCCTCACCGCCGCCCTCATCGTCCCTCACCGCCGCCCTCATCGTCCCTCACCGCCGCTCTCATCGTCCCTCACCGCCGCCCTCATCGTCCCTCACCGCCGCCCTCATCGTCCCTCACCGCCGCCCTCATCGTCCCTCACCGCCGCCCTCATCGTCCCTCACCGCCGTCCCTCATCGTCCCTCACCTGCTGACTCCACGGTCTCTCCATGGTGCTGCTGCCATATTGCTGCGTAGCTGCGACTATAACAGATCCGTTCTCACAGCAGCTCTGATCAGAGCCGTTTGTTTCTGTGATTTTTCTGTTGGATCAGACACTAAATCCTGTCCTGCGTGTTCAGGCCATTTCTGCTGACATGACGCTTCCCTTAGTGGCTGAAAGCCTAAACTTTAGTGTCCTCTGACCACAGGAGGCGCCAATATTTCAGCCTCTTTACAGAAACTTTCCTTCTTCTACTTCTAAGCTCTAAGTTCTGAGATGATTTGATGACAGTCTAGACCAGAGGTCACGGGTCAGCAGACCACGGTCTGGATCCGGATCCACCTGCTGGCTAATCCGGACCCAAACCGGTTTAAAACATTTATAAACTACAGCATGTTGTCCGACGGCAGTGTCTAACTTCACTTGCTCCTCTTCTCCTGTTAATACGGTAAAGCCCTGGGGAGCGTCCGGCTCCAGGCTGCACGTGATCCAAATGAGCCAATGAGCTGTCAGTCTGGGTTGCTGCTGCTGCTACTTTTAGACACAGCAGGCAAACCTGTGGCAAGCCGGGCGATGGGAAAGAAGGAGAAGACCATGAGAAAAAGAGAGCAGAGAAAGTGTGGACTGCTGGAAGAACTGCGGTGAACTGGTGAAAGAAAAGTGAAATGGCGTGCTCAAAGATGACCCTGCACATTTAGAGGATGTTTGGCTCAACCTGCTGCTGTGAAGCAGGATTCTCCACCATGAACAGAATCACCAATAAATCTGGATCCAGGCTCAAAATGAGCTCCTTGATATGTGCTTGAGAATGGCTTAGTCTCCGGTTAAACCCAGGTTTAAAGCCTTGCAGGGCAGCCTAAAGCCCACTGCCAACATTAAGACAGAAAAAAGAAAGACAATAACAAACCATCAGTTCAGGGGTTTGAGAAAATATGGGAATCAGGAAAATGTCTATAAACCAAACTGAACGATTGTTGTTCTCTACCTCAAAAATTGTATATATTTTTTTATATTTTTTATTTAAAAAGTCAATATATAACACAGATCCATTGGAAACCTTGTTTTATTTCAGTGTTAAATTCTGTTTAAAGTAACAGATTCTAATTAAAAATGTCTCTGGACCTTTACTGGTTGATGATTTTCTTTATTGGGACCCTGATGAGTTTTAATTGGTGACTCCTGGGCTAGAAGAGCGTCAAAGACTCTGGACTCCTGGTTTGGCATCATGGCAGCAGCCTGAGTCAGAACAACGAGTTGATGCCACAAATAACTCAGTGGAGCCCAACGCTGCGACAAAAAGAAAGGATCTGCGAAGATTAGTGTTTAAACTTTAAAGGCCTCATATTCAGCAGCAGAAAATGTTATCAATGAGGCCCAACAGCAGGTTTTTGCTTTACGGTAAAACAGGACACACAGGATGGGAGACTGCAGACAAAGCCTCCTGATTAATCGGCCAACTATGTGACCCTCTGCTGGTTCACTTCAGGAGGCCGTTTAATGGGAGGCGTGTGAGAACAAAGTGGACTCTGTAGATTGTTAACTAGTAGAGAGTTCTCCTCATCAGGAGGAGGTCCGCAGAGAGGAGTTAATGGAGCTGTAATGGTTGCAGGCTGGCAGACTCAGATCCCAGGACAATGTCCACGGACTTTGAACCCACTTTTTCTGAACACCAGGAGGTCCAGATGAAGCTAGCTTAGCAGCTCAGGGGGGTGAATCAGTGACCCTGGATTACGGTGACCAGACCTCCCTGATTTTACTGTTGAATGTAGACAGTTATTACGGTAGAAAGGGCGCGTTAGCATGCTGCGCGCAGAAACAGCTATTAGCTAGCAGGATAGCAGCTGTTAGCTAGCTGGTTAGCAGCTGTTAGCTACCAGGTTAGCTAGCAGCTGTTAGCAGCTGTTAGCTAGCTGGTTAGCAGCTGTTAGCTAGCAGGCTAGCTAGCAGCTGTTAGCGTATAGATGAGGAGCAGAGCGCAGCGCCATTAAACAGACGGGAAAGTTGGATTCAGCAGCGGTCTCAGCTGCACTGTGTGATGGGGGGGTTAATCTGTTAATTTGATCTGAACTGGGCCGATCATTGGGATAAATGTTGCTTCGTTCTCAGGTTAAAAAAGAGCTTTGATGTGTTTGTTTTACGAAAGATGAGGAGCAAAAATGTAAGATAAACCAAACAGTCAGTCAGACCATTGGCTGCAGCTGCAGGAGGAAATAGACTCAGATCAAATTTAGATTTCAATTTAGTTTATTTATATAACGCCAATTCACAACACATGTCATCTCAACATCTTTACATTTCAACCAGATCATCCAGTCAGATTGATTTAAAGATTTCTATCAAAGGAAAACCAGTTGATTGCATCGACTCATTGACTTAAACGAGTCTATTAAAGTAATCCTGAAGGTTATTAGAAAGTGGTCAGAGAGGACAGGGTTGTGAGGAAATACTGTTATTTCTTCACATTCTATGCCGTATGTCAGCACAAGATCCAAAGTATGAAGATGAGAATGTGTGGGACTATTCACATTTTGAACAAAGCCAATAGTGTCTAAGATAGCATTAAAGGCTGCTCTTAAGCTATCGCCTTCAATGTCAGCATGGATGTTAAAATCTCCCTCTATGATGACCCTGTCAGTATTTAATACCAAATCAGAAAGGAACTCTGAAAACTCATCTAAAAATTCAGAATAAATGAACCAGAATGACTGAAATCTCCTTATAAGGAGCTAATCTGGTTCAGTCGTTCTCCTGGATCAACAAGGGTTGCTTTTTGTTGTTTAAATATGTAAAAATTGATGAAAGCATCACTGTTCCTGTTTCCTATTTTAATTTTCATGAAATGTATCTATGAGCTGGAAATGTCCCCAGACTGGAGTTCAGAAATCTGGTCTCCTCACCCTGGATGGTCTGCAGGGAAAGGAGCAACTGCCGTTTCATCTACTCAGAGTTAATTTAAATAATTACTCCATTACTTCTCAGTGGAACCTGGTTGAGATGGTCGGTAAATGTCCTTTACTTATATAGCGCCTTAAGTCAGGTATCTTCACCAAAGCGCTTTACACTACATCCATTCACCCATTCACTCACACACTGATGGTGGTGAGCTACATTGTAGCCACAGCTGCCCTGGGGCTCACTGACAGAAGCGGGGCTGCCGTACACTGGCGCCACCCTCTGACCACCATCAGTAGACAATGCAGGTGAAGTGTCTTGCCCAAGGACACAAGGACACTGAAAGTCGGAGTCGGGGCTTGAACCGTCAACCCTTCGATTTCAGGGCAAACTCCTACATCCAACGCCACTGTCGCCATACGATACGAGATGGCTTCCTCAGGAAGTAAGACTACATTTCCTGGGATAGCTACAGCACCCCCTAGCGCCCATCAGGAGCAGCCGCTGACCCTCGCTGACCTTCGTTGACACTCGCTAACCTTCACTGACCTTCACTGACCTTCACCACCATACAGAAGCAACCAAACAACACGATCACCGTGTTCCAGAAAACCGCTAAGCTAGTTCAGCTAAACCAGAGGGAAGGAGGTCAGAGACAACAGCTGGTTGTTTACATGAAGAGAGCTGAGGATGGACAGTGATGGTGTCTCTCAGCAGTCAGACAGGAAGCAGAATCTGAGGACCGTCCAACGTGTCCATCCATTCAGAGAGCTTTTCATGTCTTATATACCAATTCTGCCGTTGAACAGTTTATCTTTGCTGCTAAATGCTTTCTAATCAGGAAAAGGTTCATGTTTCACTGTTTTTGGCCAAAGCTGCTAATTTAGTGATAATGAAGTTTATCAGCCTGCGGCCCGATGTCCACAGTCCAAGATGGCGGGAAAGACTGACTGTGTTCGTCAGCCTGAGGTCATCCAGCTCCGGCCTCCCGTTATCGGCCATTTTGCTCCAGTTTGGGGATCTGTGGATCAGATCGGAGTTTTATTCCTGTTTTCCCCTGGAAGGTCATAGATCCCTGAATGGGACCCAGAAGCCGTGAGTCAGCCGCTTCCTCGTTCCACTGTCTACGAATCGCCATGAAGCCGTTATCATAGTTTATAGAAAAACAATCAGCCGATGCCATGGAGGTCCATTCCAGTCGGTTCCATTCAGTCTGGGTTCATCGACCCCTCACCTCCTTTCTATGGAAGGGTATCAGTGGATACTTAAGCACAGCCGTTCCAGATACTGGTGAGCGTCACAGGTTCACCGTGCGTCCACCATTGAACCTGCTGTACAAACTGTCCAGACAAACAGAGCCGAGGCCAGTGTCCTGACAGCTGCAGTCGTTAAACTCTAATAAACGTGCTACACCTGGAACATGTTGGCTAATCGGGTCCAACTGAGGGGTTACCAGAGGTCAGAGAGCCAGATATGGGACAGCTAGGATGCTAATGAGAGGCAATGATGGAGGGACATGGCGTTCCTCCTCATCCAGATAGAAACCGTTTCACCACCGTTGTAGTTTTTATCCTATTAAAATCCTTCATCTGTCCTTTTTTAAACGCATCGTCTGCAGCCTGGTCGCCACGCGCAGACCTGATGCAGCTCTGAGACCATCTGGACGCTCTCTGTGTGTCCCTGTCGGAATCTGCCTGCATGTTGGAGAATCACTCAGGATGTTTAGAGCAAACAGACGCATCAGATCCAGGTTTGATTGATCCAAAAGGATTGACCAGATAAACCAACGGGTCAGTGAGGACGTGCTAAATCCAGTTAGCTTCTAGTTACTACTTCAGGGTTCAGTCAACAAACTGATGAAAGCAGAAGCACTTTGGATGGAGGTGGGTGGAGGTGGGTGGAGGTGGCTGCAGGACGGTGGTGCGTTTATGTTCCAGAACCAGACTTTATGATTAGAAAGAGGCGAATGTTAACAGCTAACAGGTGATCAGATAGAGCAGCAGAACTGAATGATTGATTATAACGTTTGATGACCTGAGGGTTAACCTGAGGTTCACCAGTCCTGGTGCACAGGGTGGATCACACCTGCTCCTCTTCAGGGTCAGTTTGTTTGTTTCTCTCTTTTATTCCATAGTTGGTGTGATTGAAATGAGAAGTAAAGGTTGATGGTGAAAGCTGGAACAGCCGAGGTCGCTCCAGAGCAGGAAAACATGTTTGTCCAGTGATGCAGAATCCACTGATGTTTGGTTGGACTTTGGTCTTTAATGCATTTTTCTGATGGAATGAGTTTTCCATTGTGGTGTTTATGCTGTGCAGACATGTAGGGTGGTCTATAGAGGAGCAGTGAGGGAAAGCTCTGGGCTGCTACTGTAGCTACATGATGCCACCGTCTGCTTGTCTCCACAGGAGCCACCTGCATCCTGAAGAAAAAGTTCTCAGCCTCCCAGTTCTGGACTGACTGCAGGAAATATGAAGTCACTATATTCCAGTACATTGGTGAACTCTGCAGGTACCTGTGCAACCAGCCAAAGGTAACTTCCCCTTCTGTTCTTTACCTGGAATAAGGCCAGACCTGCTTTAACCTGAACGGCTTGTAGATAGATCACGCTGGGACGCCCCCCCCCCCCCCCCCCCCCCCCGGCGTCTCTTCACCAATCAAACAGCACATCAGTTGTAGTCAGAGCAGCAGAGCAGCTTTCCTCCATATTCCTGTTCAGTCCTTGCTGCGTTTGAATCACTAAATAACCTGCTTTCCAATAGTGGCAGAGGGACAGGGAGCGTCTTTGTGTCAGAGTGTGCGTCCTCCCATCGTGGACACAAAGACCTCCATGGACACTCGGTGTGTGCCTGGGTGCTTCTCTGGATGCTGCACTCAAAGTCCTCTTTGTTCTCATGCCTTTGTGTTTGTCTGTCTGTGTGGGTGGAAGGCCGTCCACAACAGTCTCTGCACTGAAACTGCATGTGAGCCTGATGAGGTTCTTCTACTAGCAGCAATTCAAGAAATATCAACATTTTTAACCCACCCACTACTGACCCCCACTACTGACCCCCACTACTGACCCCCACTACTGACCCCCACTACTGACCCTCACTACTGACCCTCACTACTGACCCTCACTACTGACCCCCACTATTGACCCTCACTACTGACCCTCACTACTGACCCTCACTACTGACCCCCACTACTGACCCTCACTACTGACCCCCACTACTGACCCTCACTACTGACCCCCACTATTGACCCTCACTACTGACCCTCACTACTGACCCTCACTACTGACCCCCACTACTGACCCTCACTACTGACCCCCACTACTGACCCCCACTACTGACCCTCACTACTGACCCCCACTATTGACCCTCACTACTGACCCTCACTACTGACCCTCACTACTGACCCCCACTACTGACCCTCACTACTGACCCCCACTACTGACCCTCACTACTGACCCTCACTACTGACCCTCACTACTGACCCCCACTATTGACCCTCACTACTGACCCTCACTACTGACCCCCACTACTGACCCCCACTATTGACCCTCACTACTGACCCTCACTACTGACCCTCACTACTGACCCCCACTACTGACCCTCACTACTGACCCCCACTACTGACCCTCACTACTGACCCTCACTACTGACCCTCACTACTGACCCCCACTACTGACCCCCACTACTGACCCTCACTACTGACCCCCACTACTGACCCTCACTACTGACCCTCACTACTGACCCCCACTACTGACCCCCACTACTGACCCCCACTACTGACCCCCACTACTGACCCTCACTACTGACCCTCACTACTGACCCTCACTACTGACCCCCACTACTGACCCTCACTACTGACCCCCACTACTGACCCCCACTACTGACCCTCACTACTGACCCCCACTACTGACCCTCACTACTGACCCTCACTATTGACCCCCACTACTGACCCTCACTACTGACCCTCACTACTGACCCCCACTACTGACCCCCACTACTGACCCTCACTACTGACCCCCACTACTGACCCTCACTACTGACCCTCACTACTGACCCCCACTATTGACCCTCACTACTGACCCTCACTACTGACCCTCACTATTGACCCTCACTACTGACCCCCACTATTGACCCTCACTACTGACCCTCACTACTGACCCCCACTATTGACCCTCACTACTGACCCTCACTACTGACCCCCACTACTGACCCTCACTACTGACCCTCACTACTGACCCTCACTACTGACCCCCACTACTGACCCTCACTACTGACCCTCACTACTGACCCCCACTACTGACCCCCACTACTGACCCTCACTACTGACCCTCACTACTGACCCCCACTATTGACCCTCACTACTGACCCTCACTACTGACCCTCACTACTGACCCTCACTATTGACCCTCACTACTGACCCCCACTATTGACCCTCACTACTGACCCTCACTACTGACCCCCACTATTGACCCTCACTACTGACCCTCACTACTGACCCTCACTACTGACCCTCACTACTGACCCTCACTATTGACCCCCACTACTGACCCTCACTACTGACCCTCACTACTGACCCCCACTATTGACCCTCACTACTGACCCTCACTACTGACCCTCACTACTGACCCCCACTATTGACCCTCACTACTGACCCTCACTACTGACCCTCACTACTGACCCTCACTACTGACCCTCACTATTGACCCTCACTACTGACCCTCACTACTGACCCTCACTACTGACCCCCACTACTGACCCTCACTACTGACCCTCACTACTGACCCTCACTACTGACCCTCACTACTGACCCCCACTATTGACCCTCACTATTGACCCTCACTACTGACCCTCACTACTGACCCTCACTACTGACCCTCACTACTGACCCTCACTATTGACCCTCACTACTGACCCTCACTACTGACCCTCACTACTGACCCTGCCCCACAAATGTTGAAGAAAAAGGGGATATTGCTTCCCTGTGGATCAAACAACCAACCAACCATCTGCACTATTGGCAATCCTTCTGGGGAAAGCCTGGTCTGATTCGGAGAGACGGCATCCATCCCACTCTGGATGGTGCAGCTCTTCTTTCTAGGAATCTGGCCACATTTATTAGTCCTCCAGAACCCTGACCCCCCAGGGTGCAGACCAGGAAGCAGAGTTCTAGTTTAACAGACCTCTCTGCAGCTTCTCTACTGTTACCCACTCTTTACTCCATCCAGACAGTGTCTTGCCCACGACCAAAATCTAATAAATTAAAAAAGGAGTTGATCATCATAATATAATCCAAGTTAGAATAACCGCGGTGGCGGTGTCCACCACCCGCCTCTGGGATTAACGCTGTGATGAGCAGCGCAGACCAAAGGCCACATCGCTAACGGAGGCAGAGAACATGGTCAGCCGCCCCTGAATCTGAGAGAAGCTCTGGGCTCAGCTCAGATCAGGGGGGTCAGACTGGTTCCAGAAAGGGCCGCTGCTGGTTTTCTTTCCACCCGAGCAGTAGAACCAGACTCCGTTCATCCCATCAGGTCATCAGGTTAAGACTAGACTCACCTTGATGGGATGAATGGAGTCTGATGTGCTACTGCTTGGATGGAAAGAAAACCAGCAGCGGCCCTTTCTGGAACCAGTTTGACACCTGTGGCTTAGATCATAGATGATAATGGGGCCTGATTTTCAGTGTTTAGTCCTGTTTCTCTCCTATAGCTATGGACGCAGCTTGCAGCTGGTCTCACTAACTGTTTCTTTCCCGGACAGAGCCGCCTGTGGAGCCGGTTTACTGTTAGTTTTTACATAGAAAGTGTTTCTAGATATTGATTAAATCAGAATAATCTGAATAAAGTGAACCGGATCCTTCAGGACCACAGAACCGAACATGGAGCAGTGATGTAAACCTTCTGCTCCCATAGCTTCAGTTTAACAAATGGGAACAGAACTTGTGGCTGCTGTTCTGATCCTCTCACCATGTGACCTTTGCCCTTTTTGTTAGAAGTAGGGATTAGTTGTCATCCCAATCCCAACAGGATTATTACAGATTATTATATCATTCTTTAACTTTTATTTCAGTGATTTTCCTCCTCACCAAATGATTATTTCCTGGTCCAACACGTTTTTCTTTGCGGGGGGGGGGGATTAATTAATCAGTGATCAGCAGTGTCCTCTTAACAGGATTGCTTACTGCTGGCTCAGTCAGCTGCTCCTCTTCATCCCGCCTCATCATCGCTTCTGACAGGAGAACCACCAGATCAACGAGTGTGGCTCAATCATTATAATGATCTTTATTGATCTCACATCGGAGAGATGAACCCCTCCCCTTGGGGAGCAGTGTAGGTTAAGGGTCTTGTTCAGGGACCCAGAGTGTGCCTTAAAGGAGAAGTTCGGTTTTTAACACTTTTAGCCCATTTTCTGTAGTGTCCAGGATGAAATCGAATGATCGACACCAAAAGTTTGACAATTGCTCCTGTCTCTGCTTTTTGGCTCATGCAGAATCCCCCCCTGGCTGCTTTAGAATGGCTAGCATAGTGCATGTCCGATAATGTCCTTAAAACAACCTTAAACGTTCTTTTTTTAAAATATGCTACTCACCGGGTCGTCAGCGCTGTTCAATGACGTTCCAAAAAAAGTTTCGTAAAGAAAAAACGTTCCTGTAGTGTTTTATTTAGCATTTTGTAAATCCCATTGAGTTCTGTTGGAATAGTCAATATTCCCCCGCCACCGGAAACGGAAATGGGGCCTGTTTACACAGTTGTAGTCTTTTCGCTTCACTCTGTGTACTCTGACGTCGAGGTGCTAACGTCTCTGTTAAACACTGTAAAAAACTCTGAAAATGGAATACGAAAGGTGGATTCTTGAGGAGGACATATTCATATACATTCCCAAAGTATAGAGACATTGTCGCCAACTAGTGGTCTGGAGTGTGCAACGCTTCAGATTCGAACGGGAAGCGGAAGTTTATAAGCGGTTGTGATGTATCGGAAAAAATAGTTCTGGGATTTACAAAATGCTAAATAAAACACTACAGGAACGGTTTTTCTTCACGAAACTTTTTTTGGAACGTCATTGAACAGCGCTGACGACCAGGTGAGTAGCATATTTTAAAAAAAGAACGTTTAAGGTTGTTTTAAGGACATTATCGGACATGCACTATGGAAGCCATTCTGAAGCAGCCAGGGGGGGATTCTGCATGAGCCAAAAAGCAGAGACAGGACCAATTGTCAAAATTTTGGTGTCGATCATTCGATTTCATCCTGGACACTACAGAAAATGGGCCAAAAGTGTTAAAAACCGGAATTCTCCTTTAACAACTAGGCCCCCCCTCCCCCACAATATGAACGTCATTAGTGAATATTTCAGTGTTTCAGTGACTGTGACTCATCTAAGGCTGAAACTCACTATTATTCTGCTCATCGGTGAGCATGTCATTATTTTCCTATTAATAATCTGATAGCAAAGAATCAAACCAGGTGAAACCGTTCTGCATAGAGCATCCTGACATATTTCTATAAATCTGGTTAAATTACTGCTCTGTCAGTCTGTCGTGTTTTAGAGTCTCTAAGCTGCAGTTAACGATGGATCGATTATTAAATTAGCAGACAGTTATTTCAATGATCAGTTTAATTGTTTTAGCCTAAACTCACCTGAAGTGAAGGACTGGAGGCTTCCAGCTCTGACTGTCTGGATCAATCTAGGTGTTAAAGAGACACTGCAGCTGATTGGCTCAGCCGGATGATGACATCATAACCCCAGCTTCCTGCCTCTATCAGACAGAAATGGAGCGGGACCACCGGGTTCGAATGGGAGTTGGGAACGGGCTGCGTCAGGACGTCTGGCGGGAGTTCCTCAGCCGGTTTGGAGACATAAAGATGTGTGAGGTCTACGGCTCCACGGAGGGAAACCTGTGCTTCATGAACCACGTCGGCCGGATCGGAGTGGTGGGGCGCTCCAACTTCTTCTACAGGGTAAGAGGACGGGCCGCTCTGAGGGGAGGGTTGAAGGTGCGGTCAAACCCACTTCCAGAAGGTCTCAGTTATTATCTGTGTGAGCAGATGTTCTCTGGAGACCGCTGTGACTAAAGGTTCTCCCTCAGAAATGTTCAGCAGGTCAGATGTTCTAGATGTTCATTTATTAGAGCATGGAAGGAAGTCATGAGATCTCAATACGCGACACCAAATATCAGCTGCAGGCTTAAAGTTCATCTGGCTCCTGAGGTTAGGACCTGGGGGGGGGGGGGGGTCAGAGCCTCAGACAGACAGAGACTCACTTTCATGTGAAAATCTACAGAAAAAATAAAAATCAGGATCCTAAACATTTTGGTGGAGAAGATGTGAAGAAGCAAAGGGAAGAATGATTCCAGCCTTCTGTGGATAAATCAGTGCAGTCAGCCTTTCATCATGGAGTTGAACATGAATGAATCCTGTCTCACCATGTCCTCACGGTAAAAGGCTCCCTGCTGCTGATTCACCTAAATCACGGCTGATCTCACAGTGACACCAGATGATTGATCATCTTTCTAACTTCAGACTCTCTCCTGACCCTGGATTCAAAGAGCTGATGGTTTCTGGGGTCAGAGCAGGAATAGGCAGTGAAGCTTTCAGCTGGGAACCTTCATGGACCAGTTTACACTCAGACCTCCACCTCTAGTGTCTCTGAATGTAGAAAGGCTCATGGTCCATCACAGGCTCTCCGTCTCTCTATGCAGACCTTCTGCTTCTTTGCATAGCTGACCCCTTCCATTACATCTTAGCTTTTGCTTGCTGCCTGGATATAAACTCACCTTTTCCAAGTGTCCTATTCCCAGTCAGCCTGAGATCTTCAACCATGAAGACTTTCCTTTTGAACCAGAACCAAACGTAGGTTTCTTGGTGAGGTTGCTCCTTCTGGTCGCTGTGCTCCCTTATCTTCAGCTTCAGCTCCATAAAACCTGCAACATAGACACTGGTTCTAATGGTTTGGGTTCTATAAACCACCTCAGCAGATCTGAAATAAAATAAATGAGATGTTTCACCTGCAGAATTTCAGCTCTAATTTGAGAATATCTACATCAAATGGGATGGCAGGGGAAGGAACGACAACTGTTGGTAAAAGTTCCTCCAACTTTTTAAGGGACCAAAACTTTAGTGACAAATTAAAACAAAAAAAATAAATTTTAATCCTTGGTTTAAATCCTTTGCAGTCGATAACAGCCTGGAGTCAGGAACATGGGAGAAGACTGCGTGTTTGATCTCTGCTGGTGCACTGCCAGGCCTCTGCTGATGCACTGCCAGGCCTCTGCTGATGCACTGCCAGGCCTCTGGTCCTCTGCTGATGCACTGCCAGGCCTCTGCTGGTGCACTGCCAGGCCTCTGGTCCTCTGCTGATGCACTGCCAGGCCTCTGCTGATGCACTGCCGGGCCTCTGCTGGTGCACAGCCAGGCCTCTGCTGGTGCAATGCCAGGCCTCTGCTGGTGCACTGCCGGGCCTCTGCTGATGCACTGCCAGGCCTCTGCTGGTGCAATGCCAGGCCTCTGCTGGTGCAATGCCAGGCCTCTGCTGGTGCAATGCCAGGCCTCTGCTGGTGCACTGCCGGGCCTCTGCTGGTGCACTGCCAGGCCTCTGCTGGTGCAATGCCAGTCCTCTGCTGGTGCACTGCCGGGCCTCTGCTGATGCACTGCCGGGCCTCTGCTGGTGCACTGCCAGGCCTCTGCTGGTGCACTGCCGGGCCTCTGCTGATGCACTGCCGGGCCTCTGCTGATGCACTGCCAGGCCTCTGCTGGTGCACTGCCGGGCCTCTGCTGGTGCACTGCCAGGCCTCTGCTGGTGCAATGCCAGTCCTCTGCTGGTGCAATGCCAGTCCTCTGCTGGTGCACTGCCGGGCCTCTGCTGATGCACTGCCGGGCCTCTGCTGATGCACTGCCGGGCCTCTGCTGGTGCAATGCCAGTCCTCTGCTGGTGCACTGCCGGGCCTCTGCTGATGCACTGCCGGGCCTCTGCTGATGCACTGCCGGGCCTCTGCTGGTGCACTGCCGGGCCTCTGCTGGTGCAATGCCAGGCCTCTGCTAATGCACTGCCAGGCCTCTGCTGGTGCACTGCCAGTCCTCTGCTGGTGCACTGCCGGGCCTCTGCTGATGCACTGCCGGGCCTCTGCTGGTGCACTGCCAGGCCTCTGCTAATGCACTGCCAGGCCTCTGCTGGTGCACTGCCAGGCCTCTGCTAATGCACTGCCAGGCCTCTGCTAATGCACTGCCAGGCCTCTGCTGGTGCAATGCCAGGCCTCTGCTGATGCACTGCCAGGCCTCTGCTGGTGCAATGCCAGGCCTCTGCTGGTGCAATGCCAGGCCTCTGCTGATGCACTGCCAGGCCTCTGCTGATGCACTGCCAGTCCTCTGCTGGTGCACTGCAAGGCCTCTGCTGATAGGTTCAGGATCGGGCTGTTTTTATAACGATCCACCTCTCTGCTTCATAAATTCTTTGGCTGATTTCGCAGTCGTTGCTTCGGTCGTTTTCCGTGTGTAGCACCGTTCATGGAGTTTAGGAGCAGATAATATTCCCAGAAACCTCACAAAGTCATTAAATACAAGAAAACCATGCATTCCCAGACCATGACACTACCACCACCATGCTGCAGGGATGAGGTGGCATGCTTTGGATCTTCTCCATTTTTGTGGTCCGAGTGGATCTTTGATCCAGAACCGTGAGGGTTTTGTTCTCGGGGCTCAACAGTGGTTCCAGTCGGGTGGTGAACCCTTCCTATCCACTCTGGTGAAGTCTTGATCCAGTGTTGAGGCTTTTCTACACCAGGGCAGGACTCTTCTGTCAGTCATCCACCAGGTCTTTCAGTGATGCTGACCTCACCCAATGCTTTGCCATCTCTGACGGGTTTGTTTGGATTCCAAACTGCCTGAAATCACCTGATTGTGTTTCAGATCCGCTGTGGTGATGCATAGAGCCAGAAGCATTAGATGCTGCAGTGTTTATGGAGCTGACTGTGATATAACATCAATAATGAGCAGTGAAATCAAACCAAATGTCAAACCATAGCTTGTTCTGAAAAAATGTGACCTTATTTTTGCGTAAATAAGTTTTTCTAGACCTCAGCTATTTTAATGGATGAACAAGAAGCCTTTCAGCTGTGAGCCTGTTGCTCTCCATTACGTTTGGTCACATGTTCTGACAGCAGCTGATGGAGAATGTGACCGACTGTCCGTCACACTTCCAGGGTTTTCTGCAGGAAGTGGGCTGTGGTTTCAGAATGAAGAAAGGACAGAAGTTTAAGGAGTTTCCTGGAATGTTTGGAGCTGCATGCAGCGGAACCGTTACTGATCCGTCGGATCAGAACCCAGACTGTAAAACGCACGCAGCCTGGTGACGTGTGTGAAGCAGGAGAGCAGCCTGGGAGGAGGACATGTTTAACCTGCTAAAGGAGCTTTCTGTCAGAGGATTGGCCTCCTGAAGCGGCTCTGTTGGCCTCAGGTCATGGCAGCGGCTGGGAAACAGTGGCCTCCATCTGTTCAGCTCTAATCTCTGACCTCAGCTGTCCTCTCACCATTAAAGTTATAAAAGATTGTTACAAAACTAAATGACCTATACAGTCCAGGTTGAAATTTTAATGAATACATTATTTTAGCAGTTTTATCACAGAAACGTTGATGGTTTAATTCCTGAATTCCTCATTAATGCAGAAGGAAACAGGTAGGAGCTTCAGGCGGTGAGGATCAGGACAGTCCCACAGTCTGGCTGCTGGATGAACCCGATTCACAGCTAAAAATAGCTGCAGAGCTGCAGACGCTGCTCTAATCCGTTAGCCGTTAGCTGCAGCTGTAGCATTAAAGGCTTCAGTAGATCCACTAAAACTCTGTTAGAGGAGCTGAAGGAAGGAAACATTCAGGAAACTGTTTGTTAGGAAGGTGAAAGTTTCATGTCTGTAAAGATGAAACAGTTTCAGCTCAAAGCCTCACAGATGAAACTCTGAACATCAACCAGACGGAGCAACCTAAAAATACTGTCTGCTTGGATGGATTCAGGTTGCCATGACAACGGCTGGAATGGCTTTGGTCCTTAAAATGATCATTCAGCTGCATGCACCGTGGTAGGAGGCATGGAGGGGAAATAATTGGTGAGCTAATTAAAGATGGTTTCCTGATGAAAGCTTGGCTGCTGATGCAGGAAGCAGGAGGAGGAACATCAGCGTTTACGGCCTAATGGCGTCCCCCTGAAAAACTAAAACCAGGAAAACTGCCGTCTGCGGTCTGACTGGGACCAGCGGGGCGCCCGGTCCTGGTAATGATGTTTTAGCGGGGCCAGGCAGGTGGAGCAGCGGTTAGTGCAGACGACCCATGAACAGACCTCTTAGTCCTCGATGAGGCCGGGTTCCAATCCGGCCTGCGGTCCATCCCTCTCTCTCATACCACCGTTAGAAAAACAAGCCACTAGTGAACTAAAAACTAAAATAAAATGATGTTTTACCATCTTCACTGTAGATTTTTGTGCTAGATCTGCTCCTCATCAGGTTGTTTTCCTCTTTGTCTGCAGCTTCTGTTCAAGTACGATCTGGTGAAGTACGACATGGTTAAAGACGAACCGGTGAAAGACCCTCAGGGTTTCTGCCAGAGAGTCAAACAAGGTAAAGCTGGAAACCGTCTCCTCCAGGGTTCCGGTTCTGGTCCGACCCGTCTCATGCTTTGGTTCCGTTCAGGAGAGACGGGGCTGTTGCTGGCCAAGGTCAGCGCCCTCAGCCCCTTCTTCGGCTACGCTGGAAACAAGCAGCTGACGGAGAAGAAGCTGCTGAAGAACGTCTTTGTGAAGGGGGACGTCTACTTTAACACCGGGGACCTGATGGCCGAAGACCAGGACGGCTTCATCTGCTTCAGGGACAGAGTGGGCGACACCTTCAGGTACCTGTGGCCTGTGGGCGGGGCCTAAGAGCTCCTGTCAGGTCAGGACGTTGGTCTCCTTTAAAATCCCTCCTTCCTTCAAATCAGATGTTATTTAGGAGTGAAGTCATCATTTAGACTGGAACCAGTACGCTACTGGTTCCCAGCCAGGGGCGCATTTAGGAAATGTGGGGCCCTGGGCAAAGGCAGGCAGGGGCCCCTCTGAACTGAGAAGACATCAAACAGCCCCATTCTCCAGATGTAGAAATGTTAATAGAATAGACATCCATTATCTGCTCTAGGTTGTGTCCCTCTCTTCTTGTCCCTTTTCTTCTTGTTTTCCTCTCTATGTTTTGTACTCAGCTGACTTTTCATGCTGTCTCTAAAGGAATGAAAGATTTTTTCCAAGCACTAAGCTCACTTAGCTGATTGCTCCTTCCTGTGTTTCCAAAAAGGCCAAAGTAAATAACCCAGTCCTTCTTTTCACTGTAGACAAGCCATGATCTGCTTCTCTGTTCTCCATTTTTCATTTGGATGAAATAATAGCTGCATGAATCATGACAGCAGACAAGATAGAGGAGAGCAGGAGGCGGGGTTACCAATCTACTCGCTCTGGAGAGCAGAGTTCGCTGCTTTTAGATGTTGTCTCCAAAGTCTCCAGTAGCAGAAAAAAGTCTCTAGATTTGGCGCTAGGAGCTTTTTAGAAATCAAAGTGCTAGAGGGGTCTGAAAAGTGGCTAAATATAGCGACTAAAGCGCTAAGTTGGCAACACTGCTCTTTGCATGGTTTGTTTTCAAATGGTTTGCTGCTGTCTGTTTGGACCTTTCTGAACATGTGCAGCAAATGGACTGATCCAATATGGTGGACACTGAAGTGTTGGAGTAGTTGTATGAATGATGATGGTCTGACCTCATGCCTCATCTCTCTGGTTCCTTCCCTTCTTCAGGTGGAAAGGAGAGAACGTTGCGACCACGGAGGTGACGGAGATCCTGGGGCAGGTGGACTTCATCCAGGAGGTCAATGTGTTTGGAGTGGAGGTTCCAGGTAACGTTTCTGCCTTCATCTCGTCTTCATCAGCTCATTCACAGTGAAGAAGAACGGCTCCTTCCTTAGACTCGCATGCTTCGTTTTGATGCGTTTCTCATTAACGCTGAAGGAAAATCCTGTCTTCTAGTTGTAGAACCTGTTGGAGCTTCTGCTGACTCCATCATAACTCTCTTTGACAGGACATGAGGGCAGAGCAGGGATGGCCGCCCTCACTGTGCGACCACAACTCACCTTTGATGGTCACAAGCTGTTGGAACACGCCCTCAGGGACCTCCCGCCGTACGCTCGTCCGCTCTTCGTGAGGATCCAGGTGACTGACCTCTTCCTCCACTCGACGCCTTCCTCTGCTGGACGCCAGAATCATTCTAAATGTTATTATGTTGGAGGCCATGTTTTAGATGACGGTGGATGTGACGTTCTCCACCAGCTGAATGGTTTCATCATCATCAGATGATGGTGGAACGCCTCTGAAGGGGGCAGCAGGTCCTTCAGATGGTAGAACCACATCAGGCTCCCAGTGGAGACCAGTCAGGCTGGTCTATGGGTGAACTGCTCCCTCTAGTGCTGCTACGGTGGAACTGCAGGAGGAAGGCAGCCAGCAGAGAGGAGTTAAAACGTGGATAAAGGTTCTGCTCTGTGACCTCATCAGACCCTCTGTCCAATCAGGTCACTGCGTTTAGATGATGTTCATGGCTCTGAAGGTGTGATAGAAAGTTAAAATATGGCAGATCATCAAAGGTCAAAGATTGTTCTGTTCCATCCCTGCTGACCGCCCAATGCTGGTGCTGAATGTTCCCTTCAGGGATGCGCAGCTCCAGTAATTATCCCAGCTGTGAAGCTGGAGGACCAATCAGAAGCTACGTAGCCTGGTGTCATCCTTGGCTCTTCTCAGCAGTTCGCTAGCTTCCCGTTGTTTGTCTCTCGCTGACTGGAGGTCCTGTTCCCCGCCCTCCCAGGCTGCAACGGGTCGATCAGGTAGAAGAGTTTGGAAAGTCGCCCCCTCTCCCAGCTTCTGGGTACCGTGCTACCTTCAGCTTGGTGCTGTTTTGGTTGAGAATTGGTGACGGCAGCGATTTCGCCCCACTCCCAGTCTGACCAACTTCCCTTGCAGAAGTTTGGGTACGGCTAACGTTGTTGGCTTCTTTGGTGTATTGGTTTTTGTAAGTGGTGATGGTAGCGATCACGCCCCTGCTCCCCAGTTTTAATGGGGTTAGCGTTAGCCCAGCCTGAGCCTGGGTGACCTTTGACTGCTGGTTGGATTGTGGGGCTCCCTCGCTTCTCCCTGACTGTCTCTGGGAGATCACGTTCCACCAGGAGCATCTCCTCTTCCTGGGCGGCTTTCAGTGGGGTCTCGCTTCCAGCAACATGTGCTGCTGCATCATGAGCATCCGACCACCTCCACGAGGTTCTGCCCAAACAGCCAGTGCTCTCAGCACCGCCCTCTGGTGGTCATCCGGCATTCATAGAACCGTGATTCAAACATAACTTTCATTTTTTTGTTGGCAGAACAATTCATGAACATTCAGTCCTAACTGGGTTCTGCTCTCTGCCTGATCTCCTCCCTCACTGGTGAATAGAACAGTCTGAATGAGGTAGCAGAAAGGCAGAGCCAAGGAGAAACGTCCGTCCTTCTCCCCGGCCGGATCGGGACGTTCACTCTAAGCAACAAAGCAAATCAGTCTTTGTTTTTATCATTGATTTGTCTATTAAACTGTTTTCTGTGTGCCTTCATCAATGTGCAGAGGATATTCTACAGACCAGGCAGCAATCTCTTTGCTGTTTCAAAGATGGCGAGAGATTCTGAACATATTCAGCATTATGATGTAATGCAGCAGCATAGTAGCCCATTCCTCAGTGTTCTGGTTCTAACTATAGAATGGTAGCATCAATAAGCTTCAATCAGTTTATTATTCACTATTCTGTTTTAATAACAAATAAAGATGTTTCCTTTGTATATTACCGTTATGAAGACCATTGATTCTCCCATATAAACCATAGAAAGTGCAGGACAGCGCCCCCCTGAGGACTGGAGTTTGGAGGTAGGCTTTGGGTTTGCTGTGACTGAACGTCCTCCGCTTTGTCCCACAGGAGGTGATGGAGATGACCAGCACCTTCAAACAGCAGAAGTTCCAGTTGGTCCAGAGTGGCTTCAACCCATCAACCATCTCTGATCCCCTCTATGTGTTGGACTACCAGCAGAACAGCTACATTCCTCTAACAGAACAGATATACCAGAGCATCATCTGTGGAGAACGCAAGCTCTAGAGGACCCCTGGGTCACCATGGAGACGGAGAGGGTCCAAAGACGATGTTTGCTCTGTTTGTGTCTGTGATCACTGTGAGGGATTGTTCTGCCAGAGAAGCAGAACCCAACCAGAACCCCACCACCTATGGACACTAATGACATTCGCAAACGATGGGATCAATAATCGGAACCATTACAGCTTCACAGAACCGAGGAAGTTTAACTCTAATTTAGTTTTTTAAATTTCAGACAGCTTTTCCTGAAGGCTTTAGTGAGGGGGCAGTTTGGAGACGTTGCTGTGCTGCAGCCAGGTCTCAGTGCGCCCTGCAGGGTTAGGCTGGCAGGGCCTGATCTTCAGGATTAAAACACGTCCAGACTTAATTTCACTTACGGAGCAGATCATCAGAGGGAGGGATCAACCACAAAGAACTTTCCCAATATTTACTGTTATTTTCTTTTTTTATCCTCTTGGCTTGTTTGTAGCAGTTTTAGATTTGTATGCCTGCCATAGACTGGTGACCTGTCCAGGGTGGAGCCCGCCTCTCAGCCAATGACAGCTGGCACCAGCCCCCCTACGACCATTATGAATGATATTCAAAATTATAATCATTGGCTGAGTTTGTATCCAGCGGCTTCGTCCTCCAAAGATCCATTGGCCGATGACGTCATAGCGCGGCGCCGAGGTCTGTTCGGATTGGAAGATTCCACGTTATGCGGCCGACAGATGTGTCCAAGGACAGGTCCGCTGTACCGGGATTCATTGCGAGTCCAAGCACGCCAGCTGCTCTGTTTCTTAGAGGAAAGGTTACTCGGCGCCATACAGTGGTGAATATTGGAAGTTCAGTTTAATATAATCCAGTCAGTGAATAGTTCCGTCTGAGATGAATGAAAATAGTTGTTTTAATGGTTGAATCAGATATGTGGCGGTAATGTTTGGTTTATCTAAAGGTTTTAATCTGTTACTGTGTAAATGGGTTTGGCTGATATTTAAGCTCAGATTCCAATTTATCTGGGGGGGGGGGACTATAACTGTGATATTTCAGGCGGCGGTACTGCTGCTGAAGCTCCTCAACATCCTCAGCTAGAAGCTCAGCATCCATTCTCTGCTCCTTCGTCAGTCATCTGTCACGGTTGCTAGGCGACACAGCGTCTGCTGAGTGAGGGGCGATGGAGGCCGGACCTGAATCCATATCCAAACTCTTCCGGCCTCCTTATTTTCAGGCCGACCCAGTCCAGATAGACCGGGCCCCTGGAGGACCAGCCGCTGAAACTCAAACAGCCATCGTCATCATTTCAGAAATTCTTCTAGGAGTCATGAGCTCCAGCTTCATGGCAGAGATCATCTTTCTCTAGGGCCTCCCCCAACCTGCCAGTAGCACCCGGTCGGCCCATCATAAAGGCAGATGTCTACCCGTACTCCTCACCTTTAAACTGTCCTCAGGTGTCTCAGGGTCAGTACCATCAGGGGAACAGATGAGTCCTCATTGAAACCACAAAGGTCACCTGAGATATGTGTGGCGTACAAATCAATCTATTTCTGAAGCTTCTTCAGGTTGAACCCTCTGGTCGCCGGCAGCGTTTCAGCCTAAAAGACGGAGAGAACATGATCACCAACCACTGGTCCAACAGCAGGACATTTCTGGACGCTAGAATAGAAAAGATCCCCTTTATTCTCCAAGGAGCTGCAGCTGCTGAGAGCAATCCACAGCTAACAGAGTATCTGACGCGTCTGCGACCGTTACTCTACGTCCCACAGACGTCTTTGAGATGAACTTTTCCCGAGAGGCTCTGGATGCTGCGTTTCATCGCGGGTTCCCTGACAGTTTGACCACGATTCATTTTCTCTCTGTGTGCTAGCATGTTCAGCATCTAGAGCGTCTTCTGCGTCCTCAGCGTCTAGAACGTCTTCTGCTTCTAGAGTTTCTTTAGCATCTTCTGTGTCTTCAGCATCTAGATCGTCTTCTGCGTCCTCAGCGTCTTCTGCATCTAGAGCGTCTTCTGTGTCCTCAGTCTTCTGCATCTAGAGCGTCCTCTGCTTCTAGAGTTTCTTTAGCGTCTTCAGCATCTAGATCGTCTTCTGCGCCCTCAGCGTCTTCTGCATCTAGAGCGTCTTCTGCGTCCTCAGCGTCTTGAGCATCTGGTGCGTCTTCTGCTTCTAGAGTTTCTTTAGCGTCTTCTGTGTCTTAAGCATCTAGAGCGTCTTCTGTGTCCTCAGCATCTTCAGCATCTAGAGTGTCTTCAGCATCTAGATTGTCTTCTGCGTCCTCAGTGTCTTGAGCATCTAGACTGTCTTCAGCATCTAGAACATCTTCTGCGTCCTCAGCGTCTTCAGCATCTAGAGTGTCTTCAGCATCTAGATTGTCTTCTGCGTCCTCAGCGTCTTTAGCGTCTTCAGCATCTAGAACGTCTTCTGCGTCCTCAGCGTCTTTAGCGTCCTCAGCGTCTTTAGCGTCTTAAGCGTCTTCAGCATCTAGAGTGTCTTCTGCGTCCTCAGCGTCTTTAGCGTCTTAAGCGTCTTCAGCATCTAGAGCGTCTTTAGCGTCCTCAGCGTCTTCTGCATCTAGAGCGTTTTCTGTGTCCTCAGCGTCTTCAGCATCTAGAGCGTCTTCTGCATCTATAGCGTCTTTAGCGTTCTCAGCGTCTTCAGCATCTAGAGCGTCTTCTGCATCTATAGCGTCTTTAGCGTTCTCAGCGTCTTCAGCATCTAGAGCGTCTTCTGCATCTATAGTGTCTTTAGCGTGCTCAGCGTGTAGCGCGTCTTAGCGTGCTCAGCGTGTAGCGCGTCTTTAGCGTCAATCCGGCGCTGCACCAGTTGCCTCACTGCTTGCTGGCCTTCCTCTCTGATCCTGAGGAAGGTTATTTTCGTAGCTAGCTCTGCAGCCACTCTGTGTTTCTGTTATAAAGCACTGATACGTCTCTTCTAGAATAGACTGACGTAACGAGGCTGTTTGACCTCTGCTCTTTCTGTCTGTTTGCCTTTATTCTTCAGGGATTTTTAAAAAGGACAAAGTTTCAGAGCAGATGGGTTTGTCCAGCAGATAGAGAGACGTGGTCTACACACTCGGATGTTTCTGAAGTAAACTTTGAAGCACTTTATCTCCTGCGAAGGTTAGCTCATTAGATAGCGTAGGTTTTCTCCAAATGAAGTAGGAATTCAGAGAATATCTCTAGCAAACTGTTCAGGGATAAATGCATAAACCAACCGACCAATCAGAGGCCATCTTCCATTTATCCTACAGTTTGTTCACTTTGGGTTTTTGAGCAGGTTTGCAATGTGAGATAAATTTGTTGAAGCTCAGCTGTGCAGAAACTGTGATGCTTGATGACTTCGTCTCACCTGTGGACGTTCATCCACCCAACTTGTACCTCAGTGGATAAATTAAGGAAAGCCTGTTTTATTGTTTGGTTTTTATTGACTGCAATAAATTTGATTGAAGTGCCTCAGTTACATCAGCATTCCTCCTTTTCTTTCACTGCGACTCATTGATTTATTGAAATCAGGTAGAAAAGCTGCTACAGGAGCCCATTAAACCAGAGCTAACTGCTGCATCTAATGTCAACGGCTGAGTGACATTAAAAGGAAAATATTAGAAATCAGTTGGTTCAATAACAGATCCTGTACAGATATAGATTAAATAGAGAGTGATACTTTCCAGCCTTTATTTCTGTTATGATCACTTTTGAAAATCTGTTGGCGATTACATTTGGGAAACGAAATTAAACGTAAAGGAATTAAAGCAATAAAACTAAAATCTGATATTTTCTAGAAATAAAATTTAAAACTATTGAAGAAAACATCAAAAAACGAGGAGAGTTTCTCCTTAAAGCAGTCTGTGATACTTAGCTAACGAGAATATGAACCACAGCAGATGATTGATTATCATCAACTGATTGATTGATTGATTGATTGATCTCACAGTGGAGAAACTGACTCATTCCATCAGCTCAAATAGCCAAAGGAGGAGGAGCCAAAGGAAGAAAGAGGTGCATGATGGGATATATACAGTATATACAGGGCGTCCACATAGGGCAGCTTTCTATCTATAGTAGGATTATTGCACAGGGTGTTTATATAGAGAAACAGGTTATTGCTCAGGGTATTAAATAGTAATTATTCTCCACTGCAGCAGTTATTGCTGTTGTAGTGTCTCATTGTAAAGTCTGGTTGGATGAATGAGCTGCAGCAGCGCTCCTACTGAGGCTGTAAAAGTCTCTGACTAAAGGAGCTGCTCAGCTCCTCTCCAGTCTGCTGCAGAGGGTGGAAGGTGGCGTCCATGATGGATGGATGGACGCCACCTTCCACCCTCTGCAGCAGACTGGAGAGGAGCTGCTCAGCTCCTCTCCAGTCTGCTGCAGAGGGTGGAAGGTGGCGTCCATGATGGATGGATGGACGGACAGCTCCCTATTGGACCACATGATGGAAAACTGGGATATTTTAGGAGATGACCGTTCTTTGATAGCAGGACGGTCACAGACAGCATGTTCAAATAAAATGTTTCCCCAAACTCAAAATTCCCAAATAATTCAATCAGCAACAGACAGAATCCCTTCAATCAGATTTAAAGACGGATTTCCTGTTAACAGAAATTATTCTAATATTCCACAGCAAGCAGCTGTGGAATACTTTGACTGAATGTCAGTTTCTTCAAAAGCAGAACGTGTTTGTTGAAAATTGGAAAGTTGAATAGAAATCTTTGAGACAAAATCCCATTTAAGAAGAAATCACAGAGAAAACTGATCAGATCATCATCCTGGAGCGAAATGAAACCACAGAGAGTCTGGATGTTTTCAGGTGATGGATGGATGGATGATGGATGGAAGATGGATGGATGATGGATGGATGGATGATGGATGGATGGATGGATGGATGATGGATGGATGGATGGATGATGGATGGATGGATGGATGATGGATGGAGGATGATGGATGGATGATGGATGATGGATGATGGATGGATGGATGATGGATGGATGATGGATGGATGGATGGATGGATGGATGGATGATGGATGGATGGATGGATGGATGATGGATGGAGGATGATGGATGGATGATGGATGATGGATGGATGGATGATGGATGGATGATGGATGGATGATGGATGGATGGATGGATGGATGGATGATGGATGGATGATGGATGGATGATGGATGGATGGATGGATGGATGGATGGATGGATGGATGATGGATGGATGATGATGGATGGATGATGGATGATGGATGGATGGATGGATGATGGATGGAGGATGATGGATGGATGATTGATGGATGGATGATGGATGGATGATGGATGGATGATGGATGGATGGATGATGGATGGATGGATGATGGATGGATGATGGATGGATGGATGGATGATGGATGGATGGATGGATGGATGGATGATGGATGGATGGATGATGGATGGATGATGGATGGATGGATGGATGGATGATGGATGGATGGATGGATGGATGGATGGATGGATGGATGGATGGATGATGGATGGATGGATGGATGGATGGATGGATGATGGATGGATGGATGATGGATGGATGATGATGGATGGATGGATGGATGATGGATGGATGGATGGATGATGGATGATGGATGATGGATGGATGGATGATGGATGGATGGATGGATGATGGATGATGGATGGATGATGGATGGATGATGGATGATGGATGGATGGATGATGATGGATGGATGATGGATGGATGATGGATGGATGGATGGATGGATGATGGATGGATGGATGGATGGATGATGGATGGATGGATGATGGATGGATGATGGATGGATGGATGGATGATGGATGATGGATGGATGGATGGATGGATGATGGATGGATGGATGGATGGATGGATGGATGGATGGATGATGGATGGATGATGGATGGATGGATGATGGATGGATGATGGATGGATGGATGATGGATGATGGATGGATGGATGATGGATGATGGATGGATGGATGGATGATGGATGGATGATGGATGGATGATGGATGGATGGATGGATGGATGATGGATGGATGGATGGATGGATGGATGATGGATGGATGATGGATGGATGGATGGATGGATGATGGATGGATGATGGATGGATGGATGGATGGATGGATGGATGATGGATGGATGGATGGATGGATGGATGGATGATGGATGGATGATGGATGGATGATGGATGATGATGGATGATGGATGATTGATGGATGGATGGATGATGGATGGAGGATGGATGATGGATGGTGGATGGATGATGGATGGATGGATGATGGAGGATGGATGGTGGATGGTGGATGGATGATTGATGGATGATGGATGATTGATGGATGGATGGATGATGGATGGAGGATGGATGGATGATGGATGGATGATGGATAGATGATGGATGAAGGATGATGAATGGATGGATGATGGATGGATGATGAATGGATGGATGATGGATGGATGGATGGATGATGGATGGAGGATGGATGGATGATGGATGGATGGATGGATGGATGATGGATGATGGATGATGGATGGATGGATGATGGATGATGGATGGATGATTGATGGATGGATGGATGATGGATGATGGATGGAGGATGGATGGATGATGAATGGATGGATGATGGATGATGGATGGATGGATGATGGATGGATGGATGGATGATGGATGGATGGATGGATGGATGACGAATGGATGGATGATGGATGATGGATGGATGGATGGATGGATGGATGATGGATGGATGATTGATGGATGGATGAATGATGGATGGAGGATGGATGGATGATGAATGGATGGATGGATGGATGATGGATGATGGATGGATGGATGATGGATGGATGGATGGATGGATGGATAATGGATGATGGATGGATGGATGATGGATGATGGATGGATGGATGGATGGATGATGGATGATGGATGATTGATGAATGGATGGATGATGGATGGATGGATAATGGATGGATGGATGGATGGATGATGGATGGATGGATGATGGATGATGGATGATGGATGGATGGATGATGGATGGATGGATGGATGGATGGATGATGGATGGATGGATGGATGGATGGATGATGGATGGATGGATGGATGGATGGATGGATGATGGATGATGGATGGATGGATGGATGATGGATGGATGATGGATGGATGGATGATGGATGGATGGATGGATGGATGGATGATGGGATGATGGATGGATGGATGGATGATGGATGGATGGATGATGGATGGATGGATGGATGGATGGATGGATGATGGATGATTGATGAATGGATGGATGATGGATGGATGGATGGAGGATGGATGGATGATGAATGGATGGATGATGGATAGATGAATGGATGGATGATGGATGGATGATGGATGATGGAGGATGGATGGATGGAGGATGGATGGATGGATGATGGATAGATGATGGATGAAGGATGATGAATGGATGGATGATGGATGGATGATGAATGGATGGATGGATGATGGATGGAGGATGGATGGATGATGGATGAAGGATGATGAATGGATGGATGATGGATGGATGATGGATGGAGGATGGATGATGGATGGATGGATGGATGATGGATGGATGATTGATGGATGGATGGATGATGGATGGAGGATGGATGGATGATGAATGGATGGATGATGGATAGATGAATGGATGGATGATGGATGGATGATGGATAGATGATGGATGGAGGATGATGAATGGATGGATGATGGATGGATGATGAATGGATGGATGGATGATGGATAGATGATGGATGAAGGATGATGAATGGATGGATGATGGATGGATGATGAATGGATGGATGATGGATAGATGATGGATGAAGGATGATGAATGGATGGATGATGGATGGATGATGAATGGATGGATGGATGATGGAGGATGGATGGATGGATGGATGGATGGATGGATGATGAATGATGGATGATGAATGGATGGATGGATGATGGATGGATGGATGATTGATGAATGGATGGATGATGGATGGATGGATGATGGATGGATGATTGATGGATGGATGATGGATGGATGGATGATGGATGGATGATGAATGGATGGATGATGGAGGATGGATGGATGGATGGATGATGGATGGATGATGAATGGATGGATGGATGATGGATGGATGATGAATGATGGATGATGAATGGATGGATGGATGGATGATGAATGGATGATGGGGAATGGATGGATGGATGGAGGATGGATGGATGATGGATGGATGGATGATGGGGAATGGATGGATGGATGGAGGATGGATGGATGATGGATGGATGATGAATGGATGGATGATGGGGAATGGATGGATGGAGGATGGATGGATGATGGATGATGAATGGATGGATGGATGGATGATGAATGGATGGATGGATGGATGATGGGGAATGGATGGATGGATGGAGGATGGATGGATGATTGAGGATGGATGGATGGAGGATGGATGATTGAGGATGAATGGATGGATGGAGGATGGATGGATGATGGATGGATGGAGGATGAATGGATGATGAATGGATGATTGAAGTGTTTAATGTTTCTGGTTGTGGATGTAGTTACCCGCCTGTACCGTAGGTGGCGGTCTGCATCTCTGCAGTAATTTGCTGTCCGCCTAGAAGCAGTAGAAGAAGAAATGCTGCGTTCTCTTTTATCGCAGATGCCGGAAATATCGCTTAATGAAGTTTTATCCAGAACAATGGGTGAGATGTAGAAAACTAAAGCATAATTCCAGTGGGTCTTCATCTACAGCTGGATCAGCCGCGGCACTGACCGGCTGGGTGCTGCTTCCGGTCTGCATGCCGTCAGATCCACTGCACACTGTGGCGCGAACCTTTATGTTCAACATTTCAATCAGGCGCGAAATAAATGATTAGGTGACTAATGATTCCAAGCAGCAACAGTACATGTTCAGTCTGCACTGTTTTAAAGCTCGGCTCGGAGCGCAGATTAAGCTCTGCGGCGTGAAAGTACCTCTATCTGACGTCATTGCTGTTTCCAACTTCCGAGGGGACGCAAACGCCCCACGCTGGACGGAAGTGGCTGCTGCTGGTGTTATGGTTCGGTTCTATGGCGCCTCGTAAGGTGGAACAGAAGCTGCCTGCTGGGATATAATGCTCTGCCGGAGACCTGCTGACCTGCAGCCATTAGTGACGGAGGTGATGATAGCGGCTAACTGCTGCCAGCTAACCCGGCTTGGACTGCGAGGTAACCCGGCCTGAGCTGTGAGGCTCCAGCGGTTCTCCTCCTGATTAAATGGTTTCTGACGCAGATAAAGGATTTTATAGACGGTTAGAGCGGAAGGCTACAGCCGGATAGCCAACAGCTGCTAGCTCCGCTCTTCTCTTCATCTTTGACCAAAAGTACCACAGCGGGGGGAATTAACCCTGTTGACGTCACTTCCTGTACAGAGAGCCCCCTGCTCTTCTGTTAGAACACAGCTATCCAACATCTGTCTGCTTTAGGACATACTTTATATTGCGGCTCCTGAGGGTCAGACTGTCCAGACTCAGTCTGTCCAGGGTCAGTCTGTCCAGGCTCAGACTGTCCAGGTTCAGACTGTCCAGGGTGAGTCTGTCCAGGGTGAGTCTGTCCAGGGTGAGTCTGTCAAGACTATCCAGGGTCAGACTATCCAGGTTCAGTCTGTCCAGGCTCAGACTGTCCAGGGTCAGTCTGTCCAGGGTGAGTCTGTCCAGGGTGAGTCTGTCCAGGGTGAGTCTGTCAAGACTATCCAGGGTCAGTCTGTCCAGGTTCAGACTATCCAGGTTCAGGCTGTCCAGGGTCAGTCTGTCCAGGTTCAGTCTGTCCAGACTCAGACTATCCAGGTTCAGACTATCCAGGTTCAGTCTGTCCAGGCTCAGACTGTCCAGGTTCAGACTGTCCAGGGTGAGTCTGTCCAGGGTGAGTCTGTCAAGACTATCCAGGGTCAGTCTGTCCAGGTTCAGACTATCCAGGTTCAGGCTATCCAGGGTCAGTCTGTCCAGGGTCAGTCTGTCCAGGTTCAGTCTGTCCAGGTTCAGACTATCCAGGGTCAGTCTGTCCAGGTTCAGACTATCCAGGGTCAGTCTATCCAGGTTCAGGCTATCCAGGGTCAGTCTGTCCAGGTTCAGGCTATCCAGGGTCAGTCTGTCCAGGTTCAGACTATCCAGGTTCAGACTATCCAGGTTCAGTCTGTCCAGGTTCAGACTATCCAGGTTCAGGCTATCCAGGGTCAGTCTGTCCAGGTTCAGACTATCCAGGTTCAGACTATCCAGGTTCAGTCTGTCCAGGTTCAGACTATCCAGGTTCAGTCTGTCCAGACTCAGACTATCCAGGTTCAGTCTGTCCAGGTTCAGTCTGTCCAGGGTCAGTCTGTCCAGACTCAGACTATCCAGGTTCAGTCTGTCCAGGTTCAGACTATCCAGGGTCAGTCTGTCCAGACTCAGTCTGTCCAGGTTCAGTCTGTCCAGACTCAGACTATCCAGGCTCAGTCTGTCCAGGGTCAGTCTGTCCAGGTTCAGTCTGTCCAGGTTCAGACTATCCAGGTTCAGTCTGTCCAGACTCAGACTATCCAGGTTCAGTCTGTCCAGGTTCAGTCTGTCCAGGGTCAGTCTGTCCAGACTCAGACTATCCAGGTTCAGTCTGTCCAGGTTCAGACTATCCAGGGTCAGTCTGTCCAGACTCAGACTATCCAGGTTCAGTCTGTCCAGGTTTAGACTATCCAGGGTCAGACTGTCCAGGGTCAGACTGTCCAGGTTCAGACTATCCAGGTTCAGACTATCCAGGGTCAGTCTATCCAGTCTCAGTCTGTCCAGGCTCAGTCTGTCCAGACTCAGACTATCCAGGGTCAGTCTGTCCAGGCTCAGTCTGTCCAGACTCAGACTATCCAGGCTCAGTCTGTCCAGGTTCAGTCTGTCCAGACTCAGACTATCCAGGGTCAGTCTGTCCAGGGTCAGTCTGTCCAGGTTCAGACTATCCAGGTTCAGACTATCCAGGGTCAGACTGTCCAGGGTCAGACTGTCCATGTTCAGACTATCCAGGTTCAGACTATCCAGGGTCAGTCTATCCAGTCTCAGTCTGTCCAGGCTCAGTCTGTCCAGACTCAGACTATCCAGGGTCAGTCTGTCCAGACTCAGACTATCCAGGGTCAGTCTGTCCAGGGTCAGTCTGTCCAGGGTCAGTCTGTCCAGGGTCAGTCTGTCCAGGTTCAGACTATCCAGGTTCAGACTATCCAGGGTCAGACTGTCCAGGGTCAGACTGTCCAGGGTCAGACTGTCCAGGTTCAGACTATCCAGGTTCAGACTATCCAGGGTCAGTCTATCCAGTCTCAGTCTGTCCAGGCTCAGTCTGTCCAGACTCAGACTATCCAGGGTCAGTCTGTCCAGACTCAGACTATCCAGGGTCAGTCTGTCCAGGGTCAGTCTGTCCAGTCTCAGTCTGTCCAGGGTCAGTCTGTCCAGGTTCAGTCTGTCCAGGTTCAGACTATCCAGGTTCAGACTATCCAGGGTCAGACTGTCCAGGGTCAGACTGTCCATGTTCAGACTATCCAGGTTCAGACTATCCAGGTTCAGACTATCCAGGTTCAGACTATCCAGGTTCAGACTATCCAGGTTCAGACTATCCAGGGTCAGTCTATCCAGTCTCAGTCTGTCCAGGCTCAGTCTGTCCAGGCTCAGTCTGTCCAGACTCAGACTATCCAGGGTCAGTCTGTCCAGGGTCAGTCTGTCCAGGGTCAGTCTGTCCAGGGTCAGTCTGTCCAGTCTCAGTCTGTCCAGGGTCAGTCTGTCCAGGGTCAGTCTGTCCAGGGTCAGTCTGTCCAGGTTCAGACTATCCAGGTTCAGACTATCCAGGGTCAGACTGTCCAGGGTCAGACTGTCCATGTTCAGACTATCCAGGTTCAGACTATCCAGGGTCAGTCTATCCAGTCTCAGTCTGTCCAGGCTCAGTCTGTCCAGACTCAGACTATCCAGGGTCAGTCTGTCCAGACTCAGACTATCCAGGGTCAGTCTGTCCAGGGTCAGTCTGTCCAGGGTCAGTCTGTCCAGGGTCAGTCTGTCCAGGTTCAGACTATCCAGGTTCAGACTATCCAGGGTCAGACTGTCCAGGGTCAGACTGTCCAGGGTCAGACTGTCCAGGTTCAGACTATCCAGGTTCAGACTATCCAGGGTCAGACTATCCAGTCTCAGTCTGTCCAGGCTCAGTCTGTCCAGACTCAGACTATCCAGGGTCAGTCTGTCCAGACTCAGACTATCCAGGGTCAGTCTGTCCAGGGTCAGTCTGTCCAGGGTCAGTCTGTCCAGGGTCAGTCTGTCCAGGGTCAGTCTGTCCAGGGTCAGTCTGTCCAGGTTCAGTCTGTCCAGGTTCAGACTATCCAGGTTCAGACTATCCAGGGTCAGTCTGTCCAGGCTCAGTCTGTCCAGACTCAGACTATCCAGGGTCAGTCTGTCCAGGGTCAGTCTGTCCAGGGTCAGTCTGTCCAGGGTCAGTCTGTCCAGGGTCAGTCTGTCCAGTCTCAGTCTGTCCAGGGTCAGTCTGTCCAGGGTCAGTCTGTCCAGGGTCAGTCTGTCCAGTCTCAGTCTGTCCAGGTTCAGACTATCCAGGTTCAGACTATCCAGGGTCAGTCTGTCCAGGGTCAGTCTGTCCAGGTTCAGTCTGTCCAGGTTCAGACTATCCAGGTTCAGACTATCCAGGGTCAGTCTGTCCAGGCTCAGTCTGTCCAGACTCAGACTATCCAGGGTCAGTCTGTCCAGGGTCAGTCTGTCCAGGGTCAGTCTGTCCAGGGTCAGTCTGTCCAGTCTCAGTCTGTCCAGGGTCAGTCTGTCCAGGGTCAGTCTGTCCAGGTTCAGTCTGTCCAGGTTCAGACTATCCAGGTTCAGACTATCCAGGGTCAGTCTGTCCAGGCTCAGTCTGTCCAGACTCAGACTATCCAGGGTCAGTCTGTCCAGGGTCAGTCTGTCCAGGGTCAGTCTGTCCAGTCTCAGTCTGTCCAGGGTCAGTCTGTCCAGGGTCAGTCTGTCCAGGGTCAGTCTGTCCAGGGTCAGTCTGTCCAGTCTCAGGTTGTGGGTTTGAGGAGCTGCTGGAGATCATGTGATGGTGTGTTTGCTGCCAGCAGCTGGGTTGTTGAAGATGTAGACAGCTTTATGTTTATGCAGGGCGTTAGTAATCAGGTGAATGTCTGAACTACAAACACTGAATGAAATACTAGGCAGCTGCTTAGGGCCCCAAGTTCCTGGGGGCCCCATAAAACTCTGTTTCCATGTGTGGTTAATACAACTATTCCTTATTTGTTCACATTATTTATGTTTTAGATACATTTTTTTTCTCTAAAATGCCATCAGAACGCTGATAATATTCAGTGTGTCTCAGCCCCCCCCCCTTCAGTGTCCACCATATTGGATCAGTCCATTTGCTGCACATGTTCAGAAAGGTCCAAACAGACAGCAGCAAACCATTTGAAAACAAACCATGCAAAGAGCAGTGTTGCCAACTTAGCGCTTTAGTCGCTATATTTAGCCACTTTTCAGACCCCTCTAGCACTTTGATTTCTAAAAAGCTCCTAGCGCCAAATCTAGAGACTTTTTTCTGCTACTGGAGACTTTGGAGACAACATCTAAAAGCAGCGAACTCTGCTCTCCAGAGCCAGTAGATTGGTAACCCCGCCTCCTGCTCTCCTCTATCTTGTCTGCTGTCATGATTCATGCAGCTATTATTTCATCCAAATGAAAAATGGAGAACAGAGAAGCAGATCATGGCTTGTCTACAGTGAAAAGAAGGACTGGGTTATTTACTTTGGCCTTTTTGGAAACACAGGAAGGAGCAATCAGCTAAGTGAGCTTAGTGTTGGGAAAAATCTTTCATTCCTTTAGAGACAGCATGAAAAGTCAGCCACCAATCACTGACTGGAGCTGGTTACTGATGGCGCAGTAATATCTACAGAATTATAAAAGCCTCATAGATCTTTTGGGAACATCTATATTAGAACAGGTTATTGTTCTGTGATTGGAGGGATCGGCCGCACACTGCGGAGCCTGACAGTCTGATGAGACTGTTTTCTTTAATAAATCATTTTAAAGTGGCCTTTATGATGCAGCTAAGGATTATTTTTCAAATAGATTAATCTGTTGATCATGTCTTTGAATAATCTAGAAGACTTTTCATTAAATTAAAGCAACTTAAACTTTTCCACTTGAAGAGTTCTGGATTATAGAGCAGATTGACAGACTGTTTTTTTTTTTATCTTAAATGCTTATACTTGGTATCACTCCTGCTCTTAGCGTGTCGCTCTGTCAGCTAAAGGAATGTTTTAGAGTCTCTATCCTCCAGTTAATAATTAATTGATTAATAAATTAGTTGATTATTTTAATAATTGATTAATTGGATTCATTGTTTCAGGTCTAATTGCTTATTTATCCTTTTAAAAGTATTTTAAATGAGTGATTTAATTTAACCTGGTTAGATTGTGGTCTATATCAGCTGAGGAGCTGTCTCCCTCTGACCAGGTGGCCACTCCTCCTCCATGGAGCTGAGTCAGTAGAGCGAGGAGCAGCAGGAGGTGCTGCTTTGACCCGGCCCAGCAGAAGATTGAGAAGCTTTAGGTTCTGCTGCGTGAAGCCATGGCTTTCCTGGACAACCCGGCCATCATCCTGGCCCACATCAGGCAGTCCCACGTCACCAGCGACGATACGGGGATGTGTGAGATGGTTCTGATAGACCAGGACGTGGACCTGGAGAAGTGCCAGCTCACCCTGGTGCCCGGTACCAGCTGTGGATCGTCAGGCTCCGCCTCCCTCGGCGAGGCCGGCTGTCCCGCCGTGGAAAACCACAGCTGTGACCTCTCCCAGTCCATGGACATCACCTCCAGCTGGGACTTTGGCATCCGCCGCCGCTCCAATACAGGTAAGCTCAGCCGCAGGCCGCGGCCGGCCCTCTGACCGGCCCTCTGACCGGCCCTCTGACCGGCCCTCTGACCGGCCCCGCAGGAAGCCGGTCCCTGTGGCTCTGAGGGGCCGGCTTCCTGCTGGGCCGGCCTCCTGCGGCTCTTATGGGTGGAACCAATCGGAGGTTGGAGCTTAAATCTTTGGTTTGTGGTGAAATCAGGGGATCAGATGTTTGTTGATTGAGTGAAAGGAGACGATAGAAGAAGAACTCAGGAAGGAAGCTTGGTTTGACCCACAGAACCCACTGGTTCGGTCCCGTCTGCTCATCCAGCAGCAGCCGCTCACAGACCGCCAGGCGACGGGGGGGGCGCCATGCACCTCCTGAAGCAGAGTGTGGAGGATCGTCCCATGGCTGAGAGCTGAAGGCCTGAGCTGGTTCCAGTGGGAAAGAACCACTCTGGACACACAGCCTTCCACGTCTGCAGGCTGCTCAGGCTGCTCCTGCTCAGGCTGCTCCTGCTCAGGCTGCTCCTGCTCAGGCTGCTCAGGCTGCTCCTGCTCAGGCTGCTCAGGCTGCTCCTGCTCAGGCTGCTCAGGCTGCTCCTGCTCAGGCTGCTCAGGCTGCTCAGGCTGCTCCTGCTCAGGCTGCTCCTGCTCAGGCTGCTCCTGCTCAGGCTGCTCAGGCTGCTCCTGCTCAGGCTGCTCAGGCTGCTCCTGCTCAGGCTGCTCCTGCTCAGGCTGCTCCTGCTCAGGCTGCTCAGGCTGCTCCTGCTCAGGCTGCTCCTGCTCAGGCTGCTCCTGCTCAGGCTGCTCAGGCTGCTCCTGCTCAGGCTGCTCCTGCTCAGGCTGCTCCTCCTCAGGCTGCTCAGGCTGCTCCTGCTCAGGCTGCTCCTGCTCAGGCTGCTCCTGCTCAGGCTGCTCAGGCTGCTCCTGCTCAGGCTGCTCCTGCTCAGGCTGCTCCTCCTCAGGCTGCTCCTCCTGCAGGCTGCTCCTGCTCAGGCTGCTCAGGCTGCTCAGGCTGCTCAGGCTGCTCAGGCTGCTCCTGCTCAGGCTGCTCAGGCTGCTCCTGCTCAGGCTGCTCCTGCTCAGGCTGCTCCTGCTCAGGCTGCTCCTGCTCAGGCTGCTCAGGCTGCTCCTGCTCAGGCTGCTCCTGCTCAGGCTGCTCCTGCTCAGGCTGCTCAGGCTGCTCCTGCTCAGGCTGCTCCTGCTCAGGCTGCTCCTGCTCAGGCTGCTCAGGCTGCTCCTGCTCAGGCTGCTCCTGCTCAGGCTGCTCCTCCTCAGGCTGCTCCTCCTGCAGGCTGCTCCTGCTCAGGCTGCTCAGGCTGCTCAGGCTGCTCAGGCTGCTCAGGCTGCTCCTGCTCAGGCTGCTCAGGCTGCTCCTGCTCAGGCTGCTCCTGCTCAGGCTGCTCCTGCTCAGGCTGCTCCTGCTCAGGCTGCTCAGGCTGCTCCTGCTCAGGCTGCTCCTGCTCAGGCTGCTCAGGCTGCTCCTGCTCAGGCTGCTCCTCCTCAGGCTGCTCCTCCTGCAGGCTGCTCCTGCAGGCTGCTCCTGCTCAGGCTGCTCCTGCTCAGGCTGCTCGTGCAGGCTGCTCCTGTTCAGGCTGCTCCTGCTCAGGCTGCTCCTGCAGGCTGCTCCTGCAGGCTGCTCCTGCTCAGGCTGCTCCTGCAGGCTGCTCCTGCTCAGGCTGCTCCTGCTCAGGCTGCTCCTGCTCAGGCTGCTCCTGCTCAGGCTGCTCCTGCAGGCTGCTCCTGCTCAGGCTGCTCCTGCAGGCTGCTCCTGCAGGCTGCTCCTGCTCAGGCTGCTCCTGCAGGCTGCTCCTGCTCAGGCTGCTCCTGCTCAGGCTGCTCCTGCTCAGGCTGCTCCTGCAGGCTGCTCCTGCAGGCTGCTCCTGCTCAGGCTGCTCCTGCAGGCTGCTCCTGCTCAGGCTGCTCCTGCTCAGGCTGCTCCTGCTCAGGCTGCTCCTGCAGGCTGCTCCTGCAGGCTGCTCCTGCTCAGGCTGCTCGTGCTCAGGCTGCTCCTGCTCAGGCTGCTCCTGCAGGCTGCTCCTGCAGGCTGCTCCTGCAGGCTGCTCCTGCTCAGGCTGCTCCTGCAGGCTGCTCCTCCTCAGGCTGCTCCTCCTGCAGGCTGCTCCTGCTCAGGCTGCTCCTGCTCAGGCTGCTCCTGCAGGCTGCTCCTGCTCAGGCTGCTCCTGCTCAGGCTGCTCCTGCAGGCTGCTCCTGCAGGCTGCTCCTGCTCAGGCTGCTCCTGCTCAGGCTGCTCCTGCAGGCTGCTCCTGCAGGCTGCTCCTGCAGGCTGCTCCTGCTCAGGCTGCTCCTGCAGGCTGCTCCTGCTCAGGCTGCTCCTGCTCAGGCTGCTCCTGCAGGCTGCTCCTGCTCAGGCTGCTCCTGCAGGCTGCTCCTGCAGGCTGCTCCTGCTCAGGCTGCTCCTGCAGGCTGCTCCTGCAGGCTGCTCCTGCTCAGGCTGCTCCTGCAGGCTGCTCCTGCTCAGGCTGCTCCTCCTGCAGGCTGCTCCTGCTCAGGCTGCTCCTGCAGGCTGCTCCTGCTCAGGCTGCTCCTCCTGCAGGCTGCTCCTGCTCAGGCTGCTCCTGCAGGCTGCTCCTGCTCAGGCTGCTCCTCCTGCAGGCTGCTCCTGCTCAGGCTGCTCCTGCAGGCTGCTCCTGCTCAGGCTGCTCCTGCAGGCTGCTCCTGCAGGCTGCTCCTGCTCAGGCTGCTCCTGCTGCAGGCTGCTCCTGCAGGCTGCTCCTGCTCAGGCTGCTCCTCCTGCAGGCTGCTCCTGCTCAGGCTGCTCCTGCAGGCTGCTCCTCCTCAGGCTGCTCCTCCTGCAGGCTGCTCCTGCAGGCTGCTCCTGCTCAGGCTGCTCCTGCTGCAGCAGCGCTCACAGAGGCCCGTCTGGTTAAAGGAGGAGTAATCAGTGATCTAACCCTCGAAGGCATCAATCAAACCTGCTGTTCTGTAGGACGGCCTCCCTGCCATCACCCTAATGTTTAGCTGCAGGCAGGAAGGTTCTCCAGGAGAGGAACCAGTGGGTCCATGGTGTTGATCCACCTGATGGAGTCAGGCGGAAGCTGTGATCCTGGGAAACATGGCCGCCAGCTGCTGCTTCCATCTGCTTCCTGCTTCCATGGCCAGTCCATCCTGTTCAGGAGCTGACCCCCCCCACCAAGACTTGGTGGCTTTTATTGAGCGCAGAGGAGGTGCTTGTATCCATGGCAACGCTGTGTGGCGCTACGACTACTTACTGCTAGTCGTAGAGGCACCATGAACTCCACGGACTGTCCAGTTAACTCTTTAAATGTGATCCGTTCAGGATCCAGTGGAAACCTGAAGAATGTTGACCTGGACCACATTCAGTCTGATGGCCGTCTCTGGATGAAGGCTTGTTCTCTAGCTGGCAGGTGTGGAACGTTACCTGGAGGTCAGAGCAGCAGCCGTTCATCAGAACTTCTCCTCAAAGATCTGAAGCTGGGATGTGGGTCAGTTTGATGGAGAGATGCACCGACAGCACGGTTCCAGTTGGTCCAGCAGGTTCTGCTCACCCTGAACACAGAAACACCAACACCGTTTTTAGGATGTGATCCAATAGAACCCGGCCCCCCTAAACGGGCTGAGGTAGAAGGACCGGGCTGGGACCGGAGCGATGGGTGCATCTCTGCCTTCATGGAGCCGATCAGACAGGAAGATGATCCTGAAGGTTCTGCTGGGAGGCAGGTGGTGTGAGATGTTTGTTGGTGTGGAGGTTCTGGGATGGCTGGGTTCTGCAGGGTTCTGCAGGGTTCTGAAGTACTGACCTGTGTGGCTGTCTCATCAGGATTCCAACAGGAAAGCTGTGAAAAGGCTGGGGCTGCGGGTAAGATGGTCTGTTCCTCAGGAGACGGTGGAGAGGTTCCACCTGGAGGTCCAGAGTGACCCGGTTCCCTCCTAATTAGAACCTTATTGATCAGATGGAAAGCAGCTTTGATGTTCTGTAAACAGACTAGTGAAGCATTTAGAAATGAAAGACTGAGTAACTTGGACTAGTCTACTAGTCGACGGGACGTAAAATTTGTTGTCTCTCTTTTCAGCGCAAAGACTGGAGCGACTGAGGAAGGAGCGTCAGAACCAGATCAAATGTAAAAATGTCCAGTGGAAGGAAAGGACGAGCTCCCACTCTGGTACGCCTCCTGCTCCTCTCTGCCGCCTGCTTCAGCCATTTCTAAAATCAAATGTTTTCGGTCAAAGAGGACCTTCCATTTAGGAATTATTACATCTTATTTATAAACTAACTCTTGATTTTCTGTCAGTGTGACGAACAAACCAGCAGAGTTTATGTTCCTCTGCCATCAGGCCGCCGCGCACCTGCTGCTTAAGGGCTGAACCGTCCACTGGCCCCACCCACTACAGTGTTTGGGACGGCCCCCTAATGTGGTGGACCCTCAGCGGGAACAAAAGGGCACGTTAAAGAAACAATCCATTGGACTTTTGTTTCCAAGTTTGAAGACGTTTCTCTTCCCAGTTCATAATGTCAGAAACAGCCTTGAGTTCAAGGACCCCCCTTTCAGAGACATAGACAGGTATGGGGCATTGCAGGCTAATAAAGAAGCCAAACCACCCCCGTTCCAAAGGGGGGGACCCGTTCATCTGTTTCTATTACTGCACTGTATAAAGTCTGAAACTCAATGCTATTGAGTTCTGAGGAATATTTACATCACTGCCTTTTATGCACCTTAAGAAAAGGTGATCGACCATATACTGGCGCCACCAGGAGGCCGCTGCCGCCCAATGTGTCTCCCCACTGGCCTCCCCACGGGTTGCCCCACGGGCCTCCCCACAGACTGCCCCCACGGGCCTCCCCACTGGCCTCCCTACAGGTCGCCCCACCGGCCTCCCCACTGGCCTCCCTACAGGTCGCCCCACGGGCCTCCCCACGGGCCTCCCCACGGGTCGCCCCACAGGCAGCCCCACAGACCGCCCCACGGGCCTCCCCACGGGTTGCCCCACAGGCGGCCCCACGGGCCTCCCCACGGGCCGCCCCACAGGCGGCCCCACAGACCGCCCCACGGGTTGCCCCACTGGCCTCCCCACTGGCCGTCCCACGGGCCTCCCCACGGGCCGCCCCACAGGCGGCCCCACAGACCGCCCCACGGGCCTCCCCACGGGCCTCCCCACGGGTCGCCCCACAGGCGGCCCCACAGACCGCCCCACGGGCCTCCCCACTGGCCGTCCCACGGGCCTCCCCACGGGCCGCCCCACAGGCGGCCCCACAGACCGCCCCACGGGCCTCGCCACTGGCCGTCCCACGGGCCTCCCCACTGGCCGTCCCACGGGCCTCCCCACGGGCTGCCCCACCGGCTGCCCCACGGGCCTCCCCACGGGCCGCCCCAAAGGCGGCCCCACAGACCGCCCCACGGGCCTCCCCACGGGTCGCCCCACCGGCTGCCCCACGGGCCTCCCCACGGGCCGCCCCACAGGCGGCCCCACGGGCCTCCCCACGGGCCTCCCCACGGGCCGCCCCACAGGCGGCCCCACAGACCGCCCCACGGGTTGCCCCACGGGCCTCCCCACTGGCCGTCCCACGGGCCTCCCCACTGGCCGTCCCACGGGCCTCCCCACGGGCCGCCCCACAGGCGGCCCCACAGACCGCCCCACGGGCCTCCCCACGGGTCGCCCCACCGGCTGCCCCACGGGCCTCCCCACGGGCCGCCCCACAGGCGGCCCCACAGGCGGCCCCACGGGTTGCCCCACGGGCCTCCCCACGGGCCGCCCCACAGGCGGCCCCACGGGCCTCCCCACGGGCCTCCCCACGGGCCGCCCCACAGGCGGCCCCACAGACCGCCCCACGGGTTGCCCCACGGGCCTCCCCACTGGCCGTCCCACGGGCCTCCCCACTGGCCGTCCCACGGGCCTCCCCACGGGCCGCCCCACAGGCGGCCCCACAGACCGCCCCACGGGCCTCCCCACGGGTCGCCCCACCGGCTGCCCCACGGGCCTCCCCACGGGCCGCCCCACAGGCGGCCCCACAGGCGGCCCCACGGGTTGCCCCACGGGCCTCCCCACTGGCCGTCCCACGGGCCTCCCCACGGGCCGCCCCACAGGCGGCCCCACAGACCGCCCCACGGGCCTCCCCACGGGTCGCCCCACCGGCTGCCCCACGGGCCTCCCCACGGGCCGCCCCACAGGCGGCCCCACAGGCGGCCCCACGGGTTGCCCCACGGGCCTCCCCACTGGCCGTCCCACGGGCCTCCCCACGGGCCGCCCCACAGGCGGCCCCACAGACCGCCCCACGGGCCTCCCCACGGGTCGCCCCACCGGCTGCCCCACGGGCCTCCCCACGGGCCGCCCCACAGGCGGCCCCAGGGGTTGCCCCACGGGTTGCCCCACGGGCCTCCCCACGGGCCTCCCCACGGGCCGCCCCACAGGCGGCCCCACAGACCGCCCCACGGGTTGCCCCACTGGCCTCCCCACTGGCCTCCCCACTGGCCTCCCCACTGGCCTCCCCACGGGCCTCCCCACGGGCCGCCCCACAGGCGGCCCCACAGACCGCCCCACGGGTTGCCCCACTGGCCTCCCCACTGGCCTCCCCACTGGCCTCCCCACTGGCCTCCCCACGGGCCTCCCCACGGGCCGCCCCACAGGCGGCCCCACAGACCGCCCCACGGGTTGCCCCACTGGCCTCCCCACTGGCCTCCCCACTGGCCTCCCCACTGGCCTCCCCACGGGCCGCCCCACAGGCGGCCCCACAGACCGCCCCACGGGTTGCCCCACTGGCCTCTCCACCGACGTCACATTAGAAATCTCACTGTTAACCAGGATCTGAGGAGGTGTTACTGAATCGTTCTGATTTCACCACTATAGTAGAATCAAACCCTGATATTATGGCTTTTAGATTCAGTGGCCACTCCCAAGATTTTAGTGGCCCCATCTGCCCCCCAATGAAACATTTCTGGAGGCGCCACTGATTCCATGGTGGCCAGACAAGCAGATATATCCCATGATGCTTTGCGAGAATTCTCCTCGCAAAGCATCATGGGATTTGTCGTGGCAGCGTTAAAGAACAAAGATGGCGGAGGCAGTGTGCGGGGTTAGCGCCATCTGGGGTTAGCAGGGATCTTCTGTGAGTTAGGGAGGGGTCAGGGCGTCTGTCAGCCATGACAGCTCCTCGCCAGGTCTCAGTAATCCCTAATCCTGCCTGTGGCTATGGCAACGTAGAAATGACCTTTAACATCATAGAGCTGCTCTAATGTAGCTCTAGACATTCAGTCTGAAGGTCTCCACATCAGCTCCACGCAGCTTAAGCTCCTCCTACTTGATGATGCGGTCCAGGGTGTAAATGCTGCATCTGGAATGCAGAGTGCCCAAACTCCCTGCAGGGCTGGAGGAGATCACCATGGAAACCGCCTGCGACCTTAAGAAGCCTGAGGGACGAAGCGAGGCGGCGGCCGCTGCTTTCAGAGGCAGAGCTTCCTGCTCAGTCTGAGGCTCTGCAGGATCACGCCGCAGGTATTAACTGAATGACGTGTTCGTTTGTTTCCAGCGGAGGATCTGGGCTCTCTGTTTGAGAAACGCGACTACAAAGACCGGCCGAGGGCGGCGGGGGCCAAGTCCACCTTATCGCTGCGCCTGGAGCAGTGTCCTCAGCAGCTTAACAATCCCTTCAACGAGTACTCTAAATTTGATGGCAAGGTAAGCTCAGCTCCCCCTGCTGGTCAGAACGGGTCCTACAGGACGCCAGCTAACCAGTGCAGACCAGTCTGCAGACCTTATTCACTCCAGCCCATCTCGTCTTTGAATAATAACCAATGTTTATTTCTAACTTTAGGTTTTAAAAAGAAGAAAGAAAACACATCTTAAATGGGTTTCTGAAAATTTAGAAAAATTATGTAACAAACAGAAAACAAACTTTTTCCTTCATATGAAAGATCAGAAATAGATTTTTATTTTTATATTTTCTTTTACTTAAAGCAATGAAATGACTTTAAAGAATCGTGTGGCTTTAAGGTGAAAGAACACATGGCACCATGTTGGTCTATTATTATTGAGGGATATTTGTGTTTAATGGAGAATATAATGAAGCCAATCACACCTGATTCTATTGATTAGCAATAAATCTGATATGGTTGGTATTATTTATGACGGGAAGGAAATGCTTCCTTAGGGAACTGAGGTTTTATTACCTTTAAGATGTTTAAAAGTTGAACCCTGTGGTCACAACTGCACCTCATGATGACATAAAAGCATTTTAACCGGCTTAATAAATGAAAATATGATGAGATTGAACCATATAGCTGACTTTACATCTAATAACTCAGCGACCACCGACCACCTGACTTCCTGCGGTCGCCTCCAGACCAGCAGCTCACGGTTCAGCTGGAGCTGCAGGTGGAAATGATCTGAATCAGGCGGATCTAACTTGATTGGTCGGCTGGCTGCTCTGTCGGCCATCGTTCTCCCATGCTACTCCTATGCTGCTTTCCCATCAAAGGTTAATAAAACCTTTAAACGTAGAAAAATGGACGCCGGATCAAACTGTGGTCGTGCTGTTCTGATGCTTCGCGCTCCGGTTGTTTATCTGCTCTGATCTGGAGCTACAAGCTAAAACAGTTCAGCTTTATTTACTTTGGAAAAATAGTTTCTAAGTGAGAAAGTCCACCTCCAAACATCCTGAGTTCATCAGGATTATAATCCCACTAAAATCTGCAGTTGTTGTTGGGAGCTCCTCACCCCCAGCATCATCACCGCCGCTGTTCTGTCAGAGCAGCATACCCCGTCAGAGCAGCATACCCCGTCAGAGCAGCATACCCCGTCAGAGCAGCATACCCCGTCAGAGCAGCATACCCCGTCAGAGCAGCATACCCCGTCAGAGCACCATACCCCGTCAGAGCAGCATACCCCGTCAGAGCACCATACCCCGTCAGAGCAGCATACCCCGTCAGAGCAGCATACCCCGTCAGAGCAGCATACCCCGTCAGATCAGCCTGCCCCGTCAGAGCAGCCTGCCCCGTCAGAGCAGCATACCCCGTCAGAGCACCATACCCCGTCAGACCAGCATACCCCGTCAGACCAGCATACCTCGTCAGACCAGCATACCCCGTCAGAGCAGCACGGCCCGTCAGAGCAGCATACCCCGTCAGAGCACCATACCCCGTCAGACCAGCATACCTCGTCAGACCAGCATACCCCGTCAGAGCAGCACGCCCCGTCAGAGCAGCATACCCCGTCAGAGCACCATACCCCGTCAGAGCAGCATACCCCGTCAGAGCACCATACCCCGTCAGAGCAGCATACCCCGTCAGAGCAGCATACCCCGTCAGATCAGCCTGCCCCGTCAGAGCAGCCTGCCCCGTCAGAGCAGCATACCCCGTCAGAGCACCATACCCCGTCAGACCAGCATACCCCGTCAGACCAGCATACCTCGTCAGACCAGCATACCCCGTCAGAGCAGCACGCCCCGTCAGAGCAGCATACCCCGTCAGAGCAGCCTGCCCCGTCAGAGCAGCCTGCACCGTCAGACCAGCATACCTCGTCAGACCAGCATACCCCGTCAGAGCAGCACGCCCCGTCAGAGCAGCACGCCCCGTCAGAGCAGCCTGCCCCGTCAGAGCAGCCTGCCCCGTCAGAGCAGCCTGCCCCGTCAGAGCAGCCTGCCCCGTCAGAGCAGCCTGCCCCGTCAGAGCAGCCTGCCCCGTCAGAGCAGCACGCCCCGTCAGATCAGCACGCCCCGTCAGATCAGCACGCCCCGTCAGAGCAGCACACCCCGTCAGAGCAGCACACCCCGTCAGAGCAGCATACCCCGTCAGACCAGCATACCCCGTCAGAGCAGCCTGCACCGTCAGAGCAGCATGCCCCGTCAGAGCAGCATGCCCCGTCAGAGCAGCATGCCCCGTCAGACCAGCATACCCCGTCAGACCAGCATGCCCCGTCAGAGCAGCATGCCCCGTCAGACCAGCATACCCCGTCAGACCAGCATGCCCCGTCAGAGCAGCATACCCCGTCAGATCAGCCTGCACCGTCAGACCAGCATGCCCCGTCAGAGCAGCCTGCACCGTCAGACCAGCATGCCCCGTCAGACCAGCATACCCCGTCAGATCAGCATACCCCGTCAGATCAGCCTGCACCGTCAGACCAGCATACCCCGTCAGACCAGCATGCCCCGTCAGATCAGCATGCCCCGTCAGACCAGCATACCCCGTCAGACCAGCATACCCCGTCAGACCAGCATGCCCCGTCAGACCAGCATGCCCCGTCAGACCAGCATACCCCGTCAGAGCAGCCTGCCCCGTCAGACCAGCATACCCCGTCAGAGCAGCCTGCCCCGTCAGACCAGCATACCTCGTCAGAGCAGCATACCCCGTCAGACCAGCATACCTCGTCAGACCAGCATACCTCGTCAGACCAGCATACCTCGTCAGAGCAGCATACCCCGTCAGACCAGCCTGCCCCGTCAGAGCAGCCTGCACCGTCAGACCAGCATACCTCGTCAGACCAGCATACCTCGTCAGAGCAGCCTGCCCCGTCAGAGCAGCCTGCCCCGTCAGAGCAGCCTGCACCGTCAGACCAGCATGCCCCGTCAGAGCAGCACGCCCCGTCAGATCAGCACGCCCCGTCAGATCAGCACGCCCCGTCAGAGCAGCACGCCCCGTCAGAGCAGCATACCCCGTCAGAGCAGCATACCCCGTCAGACCAGCATACCCCGTCAGAGCAGCCTGCACCGTCAGACCAGCATGCCCCGTCAGAGCAGCATACCCCGTCAGATCAGCCTGCACCGTCAGACCAGCATGCCCCGTCAGACCAGCATACCCCGTCAGATCAGCATACCCCGTCAGATCAGCATACCCCGTCAGACCAGCATACACCGTCAGACCAGCATACCCCGTCAGACCAGCATGCACCGTCAGACCAGCATGCACCGTCAGACCAGCATGCCCCGTCAGAGCAGCATACCCCGTCAGATCAGCCTGCACCGTCAGACCAGCATGCCCCGTCAGACCAGCATACACCGTCAGACCAGCATACCCCGTCAGACCAGCATGCCCCGTCAGAGCAGCATGCCCCGTCAGACCAGCATACCCCGTCAGACCAGCATACCCCGTCAGACCAGCATTCCCCGTCAGACCAGCATACCCCGTCAGAGCAGCCTGCCCCGTCAGACCAGCATACCCCGTCAGAGCAGCCTGCCCCGTCAGACCAGCATACCTCGTCAGAGCAGCATACCTCGTCAGACCAGCATACCTCGTCAGAGCAGCATACCCCGTCAGACCAGCATGCCCCGTCAGACCAGCATACCCCGTCAGACCAGCATACCTCGTCAGAGCAGCATACCTCGTCAGACCAGCATACCTCGTCAGAGCAGCATACCCCGTCAGACCAGCATACCCCGTCAGAGCAGCCTGCCCCGTCAGACCAGCATACCCCGTCAGACCAGCATACCCCGTCAGACCAGCATACCTCGTCAGACCAGCATACCTCGTCAGACCAGCATACCTCGTCAGACCAGCATACCTCGTCAGACCAGCATACCCCGTCAGAGCAGCCTGCCCCGTCAGACCAGCATACCCCGTCAGACCAGCATACCCCGTCAGACCAGCATACCTCGTCAGACCAGCATACCTCGTCAGAGCAGCATACCCCGTCAGACCAGCATGCCCCGTCAGACCAGCATACCCCGTCAGACCAGCATACCCCGTCAGACCAGCATACCCGTCAGAGCAGCATACCCCGTCAGACCAGCATACCCCGTCAGACCAGCATACCCCGTCAGACCAGCATACCTCGTCAGAGCAGCATACCCCGTCAGACCAGCATGCCCCGTCAGACCAGCATACCCCGTCAGACCAGCATACCCCGTCAGACCAGCATACCTCGTCAGAGCAGCATACCCCGTCAGACCAGCATACCCCGTCAGACCAGCATACCTCGTCAGAGCAGCATACCCCGTCAGACCAGCATGCCCCGTCAGACCAGCATACCCCGTCAGACCAGCATACCCCGTCAGACCAGCATACCTCGTCAGACCAGCATACCCCGTCAGACCAGCATACCCCGTCAGACCAGCATACCCCGTCAGACCAGCATACCCGTCAGAGCAGCCTGCCCCGTCAGACCAGCATACCCCGTCAGACCAGCATACCCCGTCAGACCAGCATACCCCGTCAGACCAGCATACCTCGTCAGAGCAGCATACCCCGTCAGACCAGCATACCCCGTCAGACCAGCATACCCCGTCAGACCAGCATACCCCGTCAGACCAGCATACCTCGTCAGAGCAGCATACCCCGTCAGACCAGCATACCCCGTCAGACCAGCATACCCCGTCAGACCAGCATACCTCGTCAGACCAGCATACCTCGTCAGAGCAGCATACCCCGTCAGACCAGCATGCCCCGTCAGACCAGCATGCCCCGTCAGACCAGCATGCCCCGTCAGACCAGCATACCTCGTCAGACCAGCATACCCCGTCAGACCAGCATACCCCGTCAGACCAGCATACCCGTCAGAGCAGCCTGCCCCGTCAGACCAGCATACCCCGTCAGACCAGCATACCCCGTCAGACCAGCATACCCCGTCAGACCAGCATACCCCGTCAGACCAGCATACCTCGTCAGAGCAGCATACCCCGTCAGACCAGCATACCCCGTCAGACCAGCATACCCCGTCAGACCAGCATACCTCGTCAGACCAGCATACCTCGTCAGAGCAGCATACCCCGTCAGACCAGCATGCCCCGTCAGACCAGCATACCCCGTCAGACCAGCATACCCCGTCAGACCAGCATACCTCGTCAGACCAGCATACCCCGTCAGACCAGCATACCCCGTCAGACCAGCATACCCCGTCAGACCAGCATACCCGTCAGACCAGCATACCCCGTCAGACCAGCATACCCCGTCAGACCAGCATACCCCGTCAGACCAGCATACCCCGTCAGACCAGCATACCCCGTCAGCTGCTGCTCGTAGGGCTGGAAGTGAATAGAAATATTTTAAGGTTTGTGGTAAAAGATGCAAGAATCAGAATAAATAATCCAGTATCTTCCATCAGCAGGTTTTATCAGTTAATGATGGGATTTATAAACTGTTTCTGTTTTATTTCAGCAATAATCTGTTCTTTCTAAATAATCCGTTCTATTTTCTAATCTGTGGAGTTTACCTCTGGATCAAAGCTATAAACGCTCATTTATAGTAAATTTAGTTTTAGACGCCCCGGACTGAGGCAGGTTCATGGTACGAGCAGACCCACAGTGAATATAACTTTATTTTAACTTGCCGTCACTCAGCAGCCGCTCTGCAGCCCCCAGAGGCGGGATTATGTTGGGAGTTGGGCGTCCGTCTGTCCGTCACACGTTTCCTGTCTGCTTTTGCAGGGTCACATCGGTACGACGGCTACCAAGAAGATAGACGTCTACCTCTCCATGCAGATGGCTCAGGAGAAGCTGCACCCCATGACGGTGGTGACCATCGCCAACGCTCGGGTTCACGACCTCATCGGCCTCATCTGCTGGCAGTACACCGGCGAGGGCCGAGAACCCAAACTGAAGTGAGTGTGAAGCGCTCAGAGCCGTCTCTCTGCTGCTGCCCCTCTGACTCTGCTCGCTCCGCAGTGAGAACGTGGACGCCTACTGCCTCCACATCGCCGAGGACGATGGTGAGGTGGACACAGACTTCCCTCCGCTGGACTCTAACGAGCCCATCCACAAGTTCGGCTTCAGCACGCTGGCTCTGGTGGAGAAGTACTCCTCCCCTGGACTGACCTCCAGGCAGTCCCTGTTTGTCAGGATGTGAGTGCAGCAGACTGGGAGCACTGGTGCTGGTCCAACAGGACCAACCGTCTGACCGCTCTTCCTTCTTCCTCCTAGAAATGCTGCTCATGGCTTCTCTTTAATTCCTGTGGACAGTCTGAAGGTCACCATGAAGGAGATTCTTCAGAAGGCCCTGAAGAAGAGGAAAGGTTCCCAGAAAGGAGCAGGTAATGGTGCTGAGCCTCCAGCTCTTCCTTCCCTTTGGTCCATTTAGGATTCTGGTTCTGAAGGGAAATGAGGACTGACTGTGAAAGTGTCTCCATGACTCTCCACCAGGTCCTCTGTATCGTCTGGAGAAGCAGATGGAGCCAAACGTTGCCGTGGACCTGGAGTCTTCTCTGGAGAGCCAGAACACGCTGGAGTTCTGCCTGGTCAGAGAGAACAGTGAGTACAGCTGCTGGAGATGCTGGGATGGATCTACTTTTTTTAGGGGAAAAGCTCAATCAGAAACATCATGTTGCATCTTCCTGAGCAAAGGTACGATTCACAGCACTACAGTGTTTACCTGTGAAATTTATCCACAGGGATTATTTCACAGTTTGTCCATTTAGACCAGATCCTGAAGAATGATCGCCGTCCACCTTGAACAGAAAATAACTTCTCCAGAGTCTCAGTGTCCTGAACCAGACCGACCCAGTCCTCCACTGTGGGAGCTTCAGGCTTTTTGTTTTGCTTTCTGCCAGAAGCTTGAACAGCAGTGGACTCCATCCTCTGATGACTCGTTCCTAGCAGAGCCGTACGTGTCCCAGTAGAACCAGTTAACGTCCCCAAACCAACAGGGATGACCTCCTGGAAGGGGTTCAGATGATTAAAAGACAAAAACTGGACATAAAGTCCCTCCTGGACCAACTAACAGTTTAGTAACATCTAGGAGATTCTGCTGTGGTTTACTTAGAGCAAAGCTGAGCAGGAATGTCTATCTGACCAGGTGATCATCTCTAGACGGGTCACGGTTCTGATGGTCCCTCTGCAGACGGGTCACGGTTGCCGTGTTACTTTTGGTTTTTGATGGCGGTCTGTCAGCGGTTTGCATCATGCATCGTTTCCCAAACGTTTCCAGGACTCATGGAACGTTTCCAGGACTCGTGGAACGTTTCCAGGACTCGTGGAACGTTTCCAGGACTCGTGGAACGTTTCCAGGACTCGTGGAACGTTTCCAGGACTCGTGGAACGTTTCCAGGACTCGTGGAACGTTTCCAGGACTCGTGGAACGTTTCCAGGACTCGTGGAACGTTTCCAGGACTCTTGGAATGTTTCCAGGGCTCATGGAACCGATACAGATGTTTCCTTGAGGCTCTAGAATGTTCCACATATTGGAACGATCCAAGTTCATGTGAAACCATTGAGTCAATGAGCAGATGGTGACTCAGCACCTTCAGACATTGAGTCAATGAGCAGATGGTGACTCAGCATCTTCTGGGTTAGTCAATGAGCAGATGGTGGCTCAGCATCTTCTGGTTAATGATGAGATGTTTCTGCTGTTTCAGGCTCCAGAGGCGAGGAGAGCTCAGAGGAAGACCCTACCATTGACATCACCACCGTCCAGGACATGCTGAGCAGTCACCACTACAAGTCCTTCAAGATCAGCTTGATCCATAAGCTGCGTTTCACCACAGAAGTCCAGCTAGGTACTTCCTGCTGCCGGGGGCCCAGACCGCCCACATACGCTCAGGTGGAGCAGAACCTGAAGGTTCCTGCATGGAGGAGGAAACCAGCAGAAAGGGACAGAAGGTTCCAGATGTTGGTGCCTTTAGGGCGTAAAAATGCTGCTGGTTCATTTAGCTGCTGATGAACCAATCAGTCGCCCTTTAATGTAGAACCGTTTCATCCCGTTCTGCTTCACATCTCAGCTGATGAGAACGCCATCAGTAAAGATGCTGCTAACATTTAGCCTTAAGCTAACGCTTAGCTGTAAATGTTGAAGCTCAAACAGCCAGGATTCCTCCAGGCTGCATGAAAGCAGAGCCGGTTCCTCAGCTGCTCCATCAGGACGGTCTCCTCCTCTGGGAGGGGCCGCCCCTCGGTCCAGATGTTGGGTATCTTCTGCCAGATGTTTTCTGTTGGGTCTTTAGATCAGTAATGTTGGCATTTTACCAAACTAAACGCTTTTCCACCATAAACCACTTCCAACCTTTCTCTGCAGGCATTTCAGGAGAAAAAGTGGAAATCGATCCTGTTACCAATCAGAAGTTTTTCCGCATTCGCCAGAAACCCATCTCCATCGACTCGGACCACCTGTGTGCCTGTGACCTTGTTGAGGAGAGGAGCCCCAGTAAGTGTTCCTCAGATCTGCAAAAGTTTGAATCGATCCCTGAGAAACAGTCCTCCCATCCATCAGAAACGTTTAGCACCTTAAGTTCAGCAGCGATCGACCTGAAAGATTACGGCCTTCAGCTCGTCCTAGCTTAACCCGGATGCAGCTCCGAGCTTTAAACACCCCGACTGGAAGGTTTCCCTCATCAGGATCAGTCTGAAGCAGAAGGACAGACCTGAGGAGAGTCAGTGGCTGTGGTTTGGAGCTGCTAGCTAAACTCCATCAAACACTGGGTTACTGAGCAAGACCCTTAAAGGGGAACACCGTTTTTTTTTTTTCATTGGTCCTTGATTTTCCGTTATTCCATCATGTTCTACTCTCCCAGATGAGTTTAGTGTCATTTGGAGCCGTTCTGAAGATATTCCGTTAGGTTATATCCAGTAACGTCTTCCTATGGGCAACGACTTGAAGGCACAAACTAAACTGTTCATCATTCATTCTTTATGGAACGCCAGCATTCAGAACATGGAGGCTAATCACTGTCCCCCAGACATCCACAGTTAGATTTTTTATATTTATATCTTTTAAAAACAAAGCGGAGTGTGTATGACGTCATCAGCGTGCCGGACTGTAGTAGTAACAGGCGGCTACGCTCTACCTCTTCTATTCATTTTAGCTCATCTGAATTGTTCATCTGGAGAGCGAGATCATCTGTGGTAGCAGCTCTAGACATCTTCCAGGCATGAGAGGAAAACTAGCAGCAGTTCAGCGGACAGGAAGAATGATGGTAGCCGGCGGGCGCTGATGACGTCACACACACGCCGCTTTGTTTTTAAAAATCTAACGGCGGATGTCTGGGGGACAGTGATTGGCCTCCATGTTCTGAATGCTGGCGTACCATAAAGAATGAATGATGAACAGTTTAGTTTGTGCCTTCAAGTCGTTAACCTGACTCCTCCAGATGGATTTACTCCGCATATCCATCTGGAAACCTTCTGTTGAAGTAATTTTGGGAAGGGACGAAAATACTGGTTAGCTGATTGGCCTATGTTGGTGATAGACGGGCCAAATAAACCAATCAGATCAACGAAGCATATGACGTACTAACAGAGCGACGACGAAGAGGAGCCAATTGATAGATCAAACTCTTGCTGAAACCAGTCGGGAGAAGAGCAAAAACATCTTTTCCTCTGAGAAAAGCCTCCAGAGCAGTGTTTTGCTCTTCTTTCAGTGAAGAAATACTCTGTAATTCCCATAAAACTTGCCCGATAGCCACGCTAACGCTAGTTTCATCGGCTGAAGCCGCCATGTTCTTTAGACTGAACTGTCGCGCTTCTCGTTGCGTCACACCTCAACCCGGCTCAAAGCCAACGCTGATTGGACGTTAAAATTTTCTTTAACGGAGAGTCTCCAGACTGATTAGCGAGTGAAACCTTGAAAGCTCGCGAGATCAGAATGGTCTCACCAGGCTACCAAGTCGTTGCCCATAGGAAGACGTTACTTGGATATAACCTCAAAATCAAGAGACCAATGGAAAAAAATGGCGTTCCCCCTTAACCCCACACTGCTCCCCGGGCGCCACACTGTGATGGGTTTATTGCAGAGAGGGAATTTCTCCAGTGTGAGATCAATAAAGTTAAATTATTATTCTTATAGGATGGCACTTCAAGCTAAAGGCCTGTAACCTGCTGAAGGACGGTTAAACCGTCCCTCATTTATTCTCCTTGATGTGTGGAAAGATGTTCAGCATGTTTTTGTCCTGTTGTCCTGCAGGTCACGCCATTTTTAAGATCACCTATCACAGTAACCATGACTACAAGGCTCTGTTCTTTGAGTCTGACGCTGCTACGGTTAACGAAATCGTGCTGAAGGTAAGTAGGAAGGGAGGGAAGGAAGGAAGGAAGGAAGGATCTGATTCTAAGCGGCGTTCTCCTCCTGCCAGGTGAACTACATCCTGGAGTCCCGGGCCAGCACCTCACGGGCCGATTACTTTGCCCAGAAGCAACGCAAGCTCAGCCGCCGGACAAGTTTCAGCTTCCAGAAGGAGAAGAAGACGGGGCAGTAGTCTGAGGGAAAGTTTGCTTCCATCCACCTGAGGCCTTCAGTCTCATAGGGGGGATTCAGGACTTCAGATCCAGAAGGATCAGAGAAATGGAGCCGCATCAGAGATCAGCTGATGATGATTGGACAGGTTGGTCTGCTGAGCTGCAGCCAGATGTTCTCCATGGATCCTGGCAGTTAGGGAACGCAGGAGCATCCCTGTCAGCAGCTATGAATTCTCATCATTTTTATGTATTGTATATAAAGATTTTTATAATCGGGACATGAATGGGTGATTTAGAAAAAGCCGTTTGGCTTTTGACGCGTCTGCCTTGAATCAATGCGTTTGGTTCTGCTCTGTGAAAGTAGCAGCATCTCCATCATCCCGTCAGTTTAAAACCAACACAGAAATGTTCCTACATGAATGTCTGAGCTTCTGATCACTGCAGAGCTTTTTATTCCCAGCATGCAGGAAACGCCACCTTTTGCTTTTCCATGTCTACTTGGACAGTTTGGCATCAATAACACAAGAATAAAAGAACTTCAAGACATTTTCCAGCTGTTATCTTTATTGTCATATTCACCACATTTCAACCGGCTTCCTTTAAAATGAGATTTAGTGGGTGATTAATGTTTGTACCAAGGAGCTGAAGCATCCATTCAGGAAGCCCTGATGTCACACTTAAAGCTCATTATGCTACCAGACCTTTGGCCGCCATGCTAACCTTAGCTTAGCATTAGCTAACAGCTAATAACCTCCTATTTGCTTCCTGAAGTCGATCTGAATCTAGACCAAAGTTCCTGTTGATGCAGAATCCCTTCCTGGTGACGTTGTCATGGTAACCAAAGTAACGTTTATTTCTTTCATTTTGACTCATCAAAATGTATAAATTATTCTTCATGTAGTAAGTTTGCTTTCCTGTAAATGTTAACACGTTCATTCTCCTCCAACCATCTGCAGAAATAATGAGGATGAAGTTGGACTCTGACCCAAACCGATGGTCGATTTAAACATTAGCAGCAGGGGCGGATTTAGGACATGTGGGGCCCTAGGCAAAGACAGGCAGGGGCCCCTCTGGATGGAGAAGACATCAATCAGCCCCCTTCTCCAGATAGAGAAATGTTAATAGAATAGACATCCATGATCTGTTCTAGGTTGTGTCCCTCTCTTCTTGTCCCTTTTCTTCTTGTTTTCCTCTCTATGTTTTGTACTCAGCTGACTTTTCATGCTGTCTCTAAAGGAATGAAAGATTTTCTCCAAGCACTAAGCTCACTTAGCTGATTGCTCCTTCCTGTGTTTCCAAAAAGGCCAAAGTAAATAACCCAGTCCTTCTTTTCACTGTAGACAAGCCATGATCTGCTTATCTGTTCTCCATTTTTCATTTGGATGAAATAATAGCTCCCGCCTCCGTTCCTTGGACAGATCCTGTCCTTCACCTGGAGTGGTCTCCATTCTATTGAGCAGCGTTTACAGCTGCTTTGGCCAAAGTGCTGAGTCATCTTCCAGAAACACTCTGCTGACTAGCTGAGTGGATGATGATGATGGTGGATCATCATCATCAGATCCTGGCTGGATCATTCTGGAACTCTCTCTCTGTTGCTTCCCATCTCTGTCTCCTTCTGAAAAACAAACACGCACCTTAAACCCAGAATAAGGCTTTAACTCAGCGCTCTAATGGACGAATATTAATCCTTTGCTAAAGTAGAAGTGTGACAATTTCATGCAACTTAAATTTCTCAGGAAAATACTGCAATTTCTAATCTATTACTAAACCTATTTATATTTCTGGCTCCATATTTTAACCTCTTCATGCTCAGTGGAAACCTTGTATCCCCAACATGACCTTTTAAAGGCAAACCGTGTAACTTTTGGCCACCAGGGGCACTAGACCTGTAACTTTAAAGTCTAGCGCCCCTAGTGGCCAAAAGCAATGCAGCGCTGTCCAAAAGTCAACAGTCAGCCTCCCGTGTCTGTCGATGGGAGATCATACTAGGCGTCTAGGTTCAGCTCGGAGAGCAAGAGAAACGCTGCTGCTCTCAGGAGAGCATCAACGCCACGGCCGACTGGACCACGCCGCACGGCACGGAGGACCAGTAGCTCCACTAAACAGCCACTGGGTCGGACGGGCGGTGCGTAGCCTGCTAGCTTTCTCTGCCTGTGTTTTGCTTCTACTAAATATTGACAATAAAGAAGATCTGACTGTAAACTAGGAGCAAAGGGTTAACTTAACAATCTAATAATAAGGTTGAGAAAAAAGAATCTGTTTTACATCCAGCGGCTTCTTTCATTCTGCGCCAACCAACAAACTCTTTTCCAAGATTGACCCTTGTTTCCTTGATCCTTTTACGTTTCTGGTTTTTAGCCTCAGAAGGTTTTAACTTTTTACTGGCCTGAGTCATGACCAGTAGCCAGCTGTGGCCAGTAGCCAGCTGTGGCCAGTAGCCGGTCGTGGCCAGTAGCCAGCTGTGGCCAGTAGCCGGTCGTGACCAGTAGCCAGCCGTGGCCAGTAGCCAGCAGTGGCCAGTAGCCAACTGTGGCCAGTAGCCGGTCGTGGCCAGTAGCCGGCCGTGGCCAGTAGCCGGCCGTGGCCAGTAGCCGGCCGTGGCCTGTAGCCAGCCGTGGCCAGTAGCCAGCCGTGGCCTGTAGCCGGCCGTGGCCAGTAGCCAGCCGTGGCCTGTAGCCAGCCGTGGCCAGTAGCCAGCCGTGGCCAGTAGCCAGCCGTGGCCTGTAGCCAGCCGTGGCCAGTAGCCAGCCGTGGCCTGTAGCCGGCCGTGGCCAGTAGCCAGCCGTGGCCTGTAGCCGGCCGTGGCCAGTAGCCAGCCGTGGCCTGTAGCCAGCCGTGGCCAGTAGCCGGCCGTGGCCTGTAGCCAGCCGTGGCCAGTAGCCAGCCGTGGCCAGTAGCCGGCCGTGGCCTGTAGCCGGCCGTGGCCAGTAGCCAGCCGTGGCCTGTAGCCAGCCGTGGCCTGTAGCCGGCCGTGGCCAGTAGCCGGCCGTGGCCTGTAGCCGGCCGTGGCCTGTAGCCGGCCGTGGCCAGTAGCCGGCCGTGGCCAGTAGCCGGCCGTGGCCTGTAGCCGGCCGTGGCCTGTAGCCGGCCGTGGCCAGTAGCCGGCCGTGGCCAGTAGCCAGCCGTGGCCAGTAGCCAGCCGTGGCCAGTAGCTGAAACCCAGAGAAGATTGGCTGTATTACCAAGTTGGCGTCATTCTGGTTCTCTTTGGCTGATGTCAGGCTGCACTGCCATCTACTGGTCTCTACCTGTTGGACTCCAGCATGTGTTTGTTGCCTCTTGTTGTTATTGCTCTGATGTCACACCTTGATGATTTAGATCAGCATATTACTGACGTATGAAAAATCTGGCAAAAGTGCGGGCATACGTTGGATAAGTTATGAGCACGCTGGCACACGTCATCATACGGCGAGTATGATGATGTCTTGACATGCCAGCATCTGCCATCCATGGGCCGTCAGTTATCTGATGGTTGACAGACGTTCAGTGTCAGATTCTCATCAGTCGTGGCGTCTAGCTTATCCTAAACCTCTGAGTAACTTGTGCATAACTTCTGCAATTGTTGCACGCAGCTACAGCTCACACTGTAAGACGAATCCGCAGGGATCCGAGTTCACAGCTCACGATGTTTGTACAGCACGACGCTCTGTTGCGATCTACCTGCTCACACTGTACATCTAAAAACCAGGTGGGACTCAGCTCCGCAGTGAGATGGCGCTACTGGGACTCGTCTATCTGGAAGCCAAACCAGTAGCAGAGGAACATGAAGCTCACTAGAGTGAAACGCGCTGCCTTGGATATTTGGCCAATTTAGTGCTGAAAGCCCTAAAAAGAAAAGGAGACGACGTATTTGGACAAAGACATGGCTGAGCTAACGTGGCTACTACGGTCTGTCAGTTTGACAGAAAGAACTCCATTTCACTCATTGCCCCCCCGCCATGCTGCTGGGTTTACATCTGAGAGGAAGAAGAAGAAGAAGAATCCTAGTTTGCTGACTGAGCGATTTGCCAATGACGGTGGGCAAATGTTTGATTTTTGATTTTCTCCTGATCTTATGGTTCCTAATGGGGGGGTGGTCGTTAGAGGCTGATCGCCCCTCGTTACCCCCTGTAGACTACACACCGCACCATCAGGCTGAAAGTCGGCCGGATCGAAAAATTCTCGCACGACTGGAGAATCAACCTGAAAAGGGCAAAAAAATCGCACAGTGTACGCCCGGCGTAACTTATCCAGAACTTCTCTCCAACATATCAGCGTATCTGCCGTGTTCCAGACGAGCGCTGAACGTGTTTCTAACTTCCAGCTACTGTATAATGGCGTATTGGCAGCGTTTTGGTATAAAGGGGGTTCACAGGAGGAAACCGACAGTTCTCCTCCAGACTTCATCCCCATCATAGGGTGAGCCAGAAGGTGAGTGATGGATCCTCCCTGCGTTCACGCCCACCACCAACACACTTCCTAGCAGACATGATCAATCTGCTGACACCAGAAACCTGCTTTATTTATTCTATTGTCGGGTGGTAACCAGCAGCTAGGTTAATACCGCGATCAAAGACATCTCTATCTGCAGGCCGGGCGCCTCCGGGTGCATCGCTGCCCCCCTCAGGACTCATCATTTCCTGGGCGTCACGCTGCCGTGCGTCATGCAGAAGTTAGGCTGTCGTTGGACAGAAGTTCTGGACTCGTTATGAATCCTCTATGTTTACGCCCAGAATAGAAAGAATCCATAGAAAGTTCAGAGTTTAGGAGATTCTGGGACGTCAGGCAGACGCTGGATATATCGTCATGTGGGACCGGCCTAACCAGCTACCACCTCTTTATTATTTCGGTGCATTCATGGGTCCTCTGAGGTCAAAGGTTCAACTCTAAAAACAAGACAGCAGCGGAGGATAGAAATGGACCTGGGAGCTTTTCTAATCACTAATCCCAGGAGGTGAACCTCCATCTTTTGCTGAATGTGTTCCTGAAATATTTGACACTAAATGACTCTAGGTGACACTGGTCTATTTGGCCATCTTTGGACGCTGTTCTCTGGTTCTGTGTTACTTTGGGCTACGTTCACATCGCAGCCTGAAGTGACCCAAATCTGATGTTTTTTTTTTGTTTCTTTGCGCATGCGCTGAGTGGACGCTGGCGCGTTTTTGCAGCCGCTGCTCTCCGCTACCTGTTTTTAAGTATTTTTCAACGTTTTTACGGAATTTTGGGCCGTGTACTCACATTCAAGTGAGAGCAAAGACACTTGCCTTCGCTTTGATCATCCTAACTCCCGCTGCCATCCCGTTGTTTTTGTGTCTGAGTGTGTTTAACTAACCTCACTCTCCAACTGTTCTCCTGACTCGACCCCGTTGCTGCTGTTGGTTAGCCACCCGCTGCCGTTAACAATGTCAACCTCCAAGTTCTACATCTGGTGTATCCTCCTCTGGACTGTCCTCTCCACTCTACACCGACCTGGGGCTGGTCTGTTCCAGTATTCGGCTGCTGATCTCCTCCTGCTCCGTGGGCTTCTGTCTGCGCCTCCACCGCCAGTTCTCCAGCTACACCCGGAGAT